AGAGTCTCTCATCAGCAATCCTATTGATTTTAAGGTGTAGGAGAGAGAGAGAGAAACAGAGAAACATCTATTGGTTGCCTCCCGTACATGCCTCAGTCAAACCCACAACCTAGGTATGTGCCCTGACCAGGAATCGAACCCATAACCTCTTAGTACATAGGACAACAGTTCAAACAACTGAGCCACCAGGCCAGGATGATTCTCACGACTTTAGATGTTACTTATACACTGAGTCCCAAACATGTGCCACTACCTGCGATGAGACGCCTCTGCTGCGCCCGCACCGCCTGCAGGCGCCTGCAGCCTCTGGTCCTCTACCGACACCGAGGGCTTGACTTTCCTCCCCACACCTGGTCCTGAGCTGCCCCACCTCCACCAACTGAAGCCCCAGCCACCCAGTTCCGCCAGCCAGAAACCCAAGGGTCATTACTGGGGTGCTCCCTTTCCTTGGTTGTCATGGGTACCGGGTCCCCAGCCGGCCCCTCTGCCCCCACCAAATCCCTCCCACCTGCTCCCCCACCTCATCTCCGCCATGCCAGCCCACACCTCCAACATCTCTGCCCAGGCCACACGCCAGTCTTCCTGCCTGCCTCCGCTTTGTCCACCCTCACAAGTTCACGGAGTCCCCTGCAGGTACAAGGCCTAAAGTCCCTGCAGAGGGGGTGCTCCTGCCTCGCCAGCCTCCCACATAGGAGCCCCAGGCTCCTCCGCCCACTGGGTGACCTCCCTTCTGCTCTGTGTGCAGGGCCAAGGGACAGGCTGATGGCAGCGTGTTTGATAAGTGCCGAGCAGGCCTGGCAATGCTGCCTTCAGGCTGTTTATTCCATGATTGAGTCTTTGCGGTTATAAGGCCCCCCTCCACTTTGCCAGGCACCTCTGGGGATACAGCAGAGAACCGAACAGGGCTTTTGTGGGAGGAGAGAGGGGAGGGAAGAGGGGGACAGTAGAATGAAGTGTATGAAGGATAGGAAGCAGGGATGGGGTGAGAGCCACCCTGAAGAGGGGACATTTGATCAGAGGCTGGAACTCTGTCAGGGCATGATGTATCAATAAGAGTGCCTCTTATTTATCTCTCTCTTATTTATCCCCAGAAGATTCTAGAACATCTGTGGAGACTCAGCAGTAGCTTGGAATTCTGAACTGAGGATATTCCTCTTTAAGGAAACTTAAAAAAAAAAAATCAATCATTAATACCAAAGCAAAGTGCTTTTCTCCCCCAGGGAAGTTGTGTTAGTCACACGCTAGCTTTCTCATTAGAAAAAAATAATGGGTTTTTGGAGAAGCAGAGAGAAGTGGGGGGAGCCTGGGTGGGGCTGGAGCCGCCAGCTGGGGCACTTGCCAGGGGGGGCCACCAACAGGGGCTGGCGCTGGGCACTCCGTGAAGCCCCCTCCGGGTTTGGAGACAAGAGGTGAAGCCAGTGCCCCTCCCCCGAGGGGTCTCAGATGCCAGACAAGGAGACTGGGGCCAGCCTGTGACGGTGGCGTTTAAAAGCTGCCTGTGGCAGAATAGACATTAATAAAACGAGAGGTACATCACTGTTTTCCAAGCTCTTCACCCTCCTCAGCATGTTAGATGCTGTAGGACAGGTGGCGTTCCCCACTTTTGAGGCTGCGGGACCTGAGCCCAGCTGCTCAGGAGCTGGACTAGCATTTCTCATTTCCACACGGTTTCCCGGGAGGTGCCCACTTGCAGGTTTCTTAATGAAAGTGGGTCTGAGAGGACTAATAAGGCAGGTGGAGAGGGCGGGGCCTAGAGAAGGAGCAGTGGGAGGAGCCTAGATAGGGGCAGTGGGTGGGGCCTAGATTAGGAACAGGAGGAGGGGCCTAGAGCAGGAGCAGGAGGAGGGGCTGAGAGAGGGAAAGGCGGGCTCAGAGGGCGGGGCCGAGAAATGGGTGGCCTTTCCACCGTCCAGTCTCTGTAGCTTCTAGAACCATTCCCAGTCTTGTCTTGAATTTGTGGCCTTAACCTTTTTGAAGGGTATGGATTAATTCTTTTGTAGAATGCCCCTCAATTTGGATTGTCTGAGGTGTCCTCCTGATCAGGTTTAGGGCATGCATTTTTGGCATTTTTGTTCAATGCATTTGACTGGGCGGCTCATGGTGAATATTTGTTCCTTTCCTGGGGAGGCTCACTTTGTTCTAGGTGGCGCTCAGCGGCAGGCCCCACTGCCAAGCTGCTGATTTCCCCTTTGGAATTACTAAGTGTCTATGGGAGAGACTTCGAGATCAGGTGAGCGTACTCTTACTCTTCAGACTTTCCTTTCAGTGTTCAAGAAAGATTCTCAACGGTTGCGCAACGGTGATTTTCTCATCATTCCTTCTGCATTCCACGGCTGAGTTGCCATGGGGAGAAAGAGCTCTCCCTGTGTTTTGTCCTATGGGTTTCTATCAGAGTGGATTTGTGGGTCCTGACTTCAGCCGAAGGGTTGTAGTTCTTTACTGGGATAATTTCTTTTCATGCGCAAATGATCCCTGATAAAGCCGGTGGGAGCCCCTTCAAAGTGGCTCTGTGTTCTTTTGATAAGTCCCCATGTCAAAAGCAAAACCCCAAACCACGTCCGTACTCTCTGGCCTAACAAGGCGTCCTTGGCTCTTCTTGCCCTTTCCCTGCCTTCGTCCTGGATTCAGTCATTTCGGCCTGGCTGCGATACGATATCGGAGTGATATGATATCACTCATATCAATCCCCCACAGACACCCCCCACCGGACCCCGGGGGGGAGGGGCGGCGGGAAGAATGCCGTGGCTGGAGCAGCCCTGTGTCCCTATCATGTTTACAAGATGCGCTTTGGCAAAACCATCAGGGACTTTGAAGAACACATTTATTACCCACAGGGCCCAGAGTGTGCATGGCACCCCGAGCGTCACACGGTTGAAGACGGGGGCAGACAGACAAAGAGACTGCCGACGCGGATCTTGGCGTTTATTAGGGCCCAGGGTAGCGTGTCTCTGGTTCCAAGGCTGCACTCCTTGCAGGCTCATTTGCAGCCGAAGAGCTGGAATTAGGGCAGGAGAAGAAAGGAGTGAGAGCCTAGATCCCCCAGGGCTTTCTGGGAGGGGAACCTTGACAGGTGGGGCGGCCTTGTTTGCCATCTGGTTGCATTGCTAGTGGCAGCGGCATCTTGCAGTTGACAGTGCCTTTGTCCAAGACCAGTGTCTTCTGACGTGTGTTTTGGCGATCAGATCTGCAAGGTATGCTCACCTCTCCCCTTGCAGGTGGGCTGGACTGAGCGGCTCCTTCTAATGAACAGAATAGGGCAGAAGGGATGAGATGACACTTAGAATTTCAGTGATAATGAGCCCGTGGCTTCTGTAGTGCGTGGGTCTTGCGTTCGTCACTCTGATGGAGGTCACCTGCCAGGCTGCAAAAGGCCCCTGTGGCAAGGAACTGAGGGGGGGCATTGGGCCAGGGACCTTAAGAAGATCTGGATCTAGCTGACAACCATGCGGGGGCTCGGAAACAGATCGCCCCCGGTCTTATTCCCCCAAAGAAGACCACAGCCCCACCCATAGCTGGACTGAATCCTTGCATGTGAGAGGCCTGCAGTCCGACGCACCCCGCTAAGCCATATACCCTTTGCCTGGCCCATGGAAACTGGGAGACCATAAATGTTAGTTGTTTCTAGCCATTAAATTTTGGGGCACATTGTTATGTTCACCAGTAGATGACTAACACCACGTGCACGAGTGTGTGGGTGTGGAGAGAGGAACCACACGCACCTGTATCTGCTTTTATATCTATCTTGTATCTCCACATATTATAAGCCATGTGTTTCTACAGATAATTTCATTTTCAACCCAAAGCTACCAGGATTCATTCTAAACCCCACTCCCTCACTTTCACCGTTAAAAAAAAAATAGTTACTTTTAATTTTTTTAGACAGAGGGAAAAGGAGGGAGAAAGAGAGGGAGAAAAACATCAATGTGAGAAAGATCTATCAGTTGCCCCTCATAGGGGTACCACCCGGGGACCAAACCCACAACCCAAAACCCCGGGCGTGTGCCCTGACCAGAAATTGAACCAGCAACCCTTTGCTTTTCCAGACAAGGCCCAACCCACTGAGCCACACCAGTCCGGGTGACCTGCACCATTTGTAACCTCCTGTCTCCAACAGTGAGAAAACCCCAGCCCCCATCATCCACAATATATTGATTTATGTGTTCAGTCTTGAATGATGAGATTTCGATCCTATGTCTCTGAAAAAGTAGCCTTTTCACGGAAGTTCAATATTTATTCAGAGTTCTTGTCTTTGGTCAAATGCATATAGTCCAAATACTTTGAACTTTGTCCCCCCCCCCAATAAAAAACGATGATGCTCTCCCAGCTTTTCTGGGAAGTGAGGAATGAAATGCAACAGGGGAAGCACATTTTCTTCCCAGACATAAAATGCCCTGATGGCTAGAACATTCCAGGAAGGGCTGGGCAGGGCCTTCAGAGGCTCGAGGTTCTGCATTTTCCCCTCTGGGCTGACGGCTGCTCTTTCTCTCTCATGAAATCATTTGGAGAGAAAAGTGTATGGTGTTGCTTTCCGAGGGCCCTGGGGAAGGTTTTGAATTATAGTCATTCCTGTTATGCAAAAGGAAGCCAAGTGGCCGGCTGACTCTGAGGTCTCCCCAGAAAGGCTGGGTTTGGGTGGGGCCCACAGGGTCTTCCGGAAGGTTGGGAACCCGGCTTGGACCATCTGTGCATGGCTGGGACTGGGGCCACGACTGTCTGGAAATGGGGTGGCCTCTGTCCTTGCCATGGCCTCATGGGGGAGGGTCTCTGTGGCACTGGTCACGGCCACCACCGTCCTTAGAGGAGGCACCCGTGGAGACCGGGCAGACCCAGACCTGTGCTGCCTGCCGCCCAGGTGGGCGGGGCCAGCCCGCAGGCGGCTACTCAGATGCCTTTGGGTAAATTTCCTGTAAATCACATATTCATTTGACAAGAGTGAAAGGATGAACTCTGAGGATGGCTCGGGAAGACATGAGCCTAATTTCCACTTCTTTCTCTTCCAGGGGCAGAAAGCTTGGATAGAAAAGACCTTTTGCAAGCGAGAATGTATCTTTGTCATTCCCAGCACTAAAGACCCGAACAGGTACACTGGGAGCCATATTGAGACATCATCCAAACCCACACTTGTCCACCAGTTACCGGCAACTATCCTTTTTTCCTTTTATTTTTCTCTTTTCTTTTTTAAAAAATTTTATTTAGTTATTTTTCAAGTACAGTTTTTTGTCTGTTTCTCCCAACCCAGCCTCCCCCGCCCAGCAACTATCCTTTTTTTAATGTTTTTTTTGTTTTTTTTCTTATTTTTTATTTTTTTTATTGATTATGCTGTTACAGTTGTTCTATTCCCCCTTTATTCCCCACCACCCTACCCCCCATCCCCACCATCACCCCCCTTTAGTTTATGACCATGTGTCTCAAGTCCTTTAGATTCTATATTTCCCATGCTATTCTTGCCCCCCCATCTATTTTCTATCTACTGTCTATGCTACTTATTTTCTGTACCTTCTCCCCCCTTCTCCTCCTCCCACTCCCCTGTTGCTAACCCTCCTTGAGATCTTCATTTCTATATTTCCACTCCTGATCTAGCTGTCCTTTTAGTTTGCTTTCATTTTAGGTGTGGTTGTTAATAACTGTGAGTTTGTTGTCCTTTCACTGGTCATGTTTCTTTAACTTCTTTTTCTTAGATAAGTCCCTTTAACATTTCATATAATAAGGGCTTGGTGAGGATGAACTCCTTGAATTTGATCTTATCTGAGAAGCACCTTATCTGTCCTTCCATTTTAAATGAAAGTTTTGCTGGATAGAGCAATCTTGGTTGTAGGTCTTTAGATTTCATGACTTGGAATACCTCTTTCCAGCCCCTTCTTGCCTGTAAGGTCTCTTTTGAGAAATCTGCTGACAGTCTGATGGGGACTCCTTTGTAGGTGACTGTCCCCTTAGCTCTTGCTGCTTCTAGGATTCTCTCCTTCATTTTAATCTTGGCTAATATAATTACGATGTGCCTTGGTGTGTTCCTTCTTGGGTCCAACTTCTTTGGTACTCTCTGAGCTTCCTGGATTTCCTGGAAGTCTATTTCCTTTGCCAGATTGGGGAAATTCTCCTTTATTATTTGTTCAAATAAGTTTTCCACTGGTGGCTGTGCCTTTCCCCCCTTCTGGTACCCCTATAATTCGGATGTTGGAGCGTTTAAAGATGTCCTGGAGGTTCCTAAGACTCTCCTCATTTCTTTGAATTCTTGCTCCTTGACTCTTTTCTGTTTGGCCATTATTTGCTTTCTTCTGGTCCACTCCATTGATTTGAGTCCCAGTTTCCTTTTCATTGCTATTGGTGTCCTGCGCAATTCCATTCATTTCAATTAGTTTCGCCTTCATATATTTGTCTAATTTGTCGGTATAATCAACCAGTTCTGTGAGGATCCTGATCACCAATGTTTTAAACTGTGCGTCTGTGAGTTTTGCTATTTCTTCATCGCTTAGATTTATTGGCTCTGGGGCTCTGAGATCCTCCTGCGCCATTCTTGGTCTGTTCGGGCCCTTTAAGTGTGAGAAGGGGTGCCTTGGATTCCCAGGTCGCTGGGTTGTGACGCTGTATGTGGGGGCGTGGCCAGAGCGGGGAAATGGCGGCCCCCTCTGCCGCTTCTCACAGCTGGGTGCGGAGGAGCAGTGCCTTAGGTGGTTCACCTGGGCCGGGCCACTCAGAGTCGCTGGGTTATGACGCTGTATGTGGAGGTGGGGTCAGAGCAGGGAAATGGCGGCGCCCTCCACTGCCGCCTGCTGTGGGGACCTGCCGGGCTGGTCCAACCGCCAACTCCCTCGCCTGTCCACCCGCGCACAAATGCGCGACCTCAGTCAACACGCAGCCCCGGGCCCGGCTGTCTCCCCCGCGGTCGCTCGCCTGGTTGCTCGCTGGGTCGCTCACTAGGTCTGACCCTGCGCCTGGATTCCGCGGGCCTGAGTGTGTCTGGCCGAGTCCTCCTGTGCAACCCCGCTCCGCCAGCCGCTGGTTTCGCCCTTTACCGGTCAGGCTGAAGAATTTGTTGTTAACGGACTTCCGAAAAGTTCAATTTTCCGTGTTCTGGCTGTGTTTTCTGTTGCTAATATTTAGTTTTCTCTAATCTTGGTTGTGTGAGAAGGCACGGCACATCCACCTATGCCTCCATCTTGGCGGAAGTCTCTTAATGTTTTTTTGTAATCCTCACCCAAGAGTATATTCCTTGATTTTAGAGAAAGAAGAAGGGAGAGAGAAACTTCGATCAGTTTCCCTTCTGTACACACCCCGACTAGGGATCAAACCTGCAACCTAGGGATGCGCCCTGACTAAGAATTGAACCCACAACCTTTTGTTGTACAGGACGATGCTCCAACCCACTGAGCCACCTGGCCAGAGCACCAGCAACTATTCTAGTGTCTGGGGTGGGGGAGCCAAGAAGGATGGCCAGGATCCACCCTCACGGAGTCGTTAGCCAGGGAGTCACTTGGGCCTTAACAGAGTAGGTTCCTCTGTTAAGGTCAAATAGGCTGCTATCGGCCGTATCCGCCTCTCACCCAGATGTGAACTCCCACACCCAGGTGGGCCCTCCATCGCAGTGAGCTCTTGCCGTATTTCCAGGGCAACGTTGTTAGAGTTTCATAATGTTATTCCGATGGTGCGTTACAGAATTGTACACCTGAAACCTATGGCATTTTAAACATCTTCGTCGCTTTTACTCTTCTCTGCGTTCAGGTGTTGCTGCGGCCAGCTCACCAACCTGCACGTTCCCCCTCTGCCCAGTGCGACATCGGGCAAAAATGGGGAGGAAAACAAAGAGGTGGGGGGTCAGCCCGAGAAATGGTCCGTGGGCAAGCACACGCAGAGCTACCCAACCGATTCCTATGGGACAATCGAGTTCCAGGGTGGCGGATACTCCAACAAAGCCATGGTAAGAGACGGCTGAGCCCCGTGCCTCCCAGAATCCCCGGCGGCAGGTGCCGGGTCTTCTTTCAGGGGTGTGGCTGTCTTCCTGGATATTCTATGGCAAATGCACGTAATAGAGCTGCATGCTCAGCGTTTAACTTTTTTTATTGATTGCTTGTAGAGAGAGAGGGAGAGAAAGAAACATCAGTTTGTTGTTCCACCCATCCATGCATTCATTGGTTGATTATTCTATGTGCCCTGACCAGGGACTGAACCTGCAACTTTGGTGTATCAGGAAGATGCTCCCTGGAGTCAACTGAACTCCTCAGCCAGGACTCGGTCGGCGTTTTAGCCATGAGATTCATAAACAGCCCACTAGTACAAAGAATGTGCAGTGTCCGTAAATCCAAGTCTGTGAGTCTGTGGGTCATGCTTGAGCCCAATTCTGAAGGCCTAGCCATCATTCCATCTCCAGTGGAGAGAGAGAAATTGTGTTATTTGTTTTTTGGTGGTGTCTGCATTTTGTTTTGTTTCTTTTTTTAAAAGATTTTATTTATTTATCTTTAGAGGGGAAGAGAAGGAGAGAGGGAAAGAAATATCAATGTATGTTTGCCTCTCATGCGTCCCCTGCTGGGAACTGGCCTGCAACCCAGGCATGTGCCCTGACTGGGAATCAAACCACGATCCTTTGGTTTGTAGGCCCGCACTCAATCCACTGAGCGACACCAGCCAGGGCTTTGTTTTGTTTCGTTTGTCTGTGTGGACCTTCAGCCCTCCCACAATGGGTTAGGAGCTGAAAACATTCCCCCTGAAGTCCATCCACAGCCTCCCCAGCCTGCATCTGGCTGGCCAAGAGTGCGGACTTTCACACTGGCACGTGAACAGGGAGGCCTTCCCAACGAGCCCGCCGGAGAGGGGAGGCGCCCACGCTGCGATCCCTGTGGGCACACTCTGAATGGCGCACCCACATGCCCAACTACATATTGGCATGGAACAAAGAAGCAGTACATAGGGGCCGGTGCCTTGACCTCCTCTTCACCTTGAGGGGAAGGTCAGGTCCATTGGCTAATGATCCCCACTCCCATCTCCCACTCAGTGTGGCCTGTAGGCCACTCCCTCAACAACATCCTGTCCAACCTCTCGGGCCCTGGTTCTAGGTGAGCCAGCTTTGGAGTTGAATCCTTCAAGATTAGGGTGGCCAGGTAAAATACAGACACCCAGTTATATCTGAATTTCTGATGAATGATGGATAACTTTTTTAGTATAAGTATTTTCCAAATCTTGCATGAGGTGCGCTTATATTAAAACACATTTTGTTGTTCATATAAAATTCAAATTTGGCCCTGGCTGGTGTGGCTCAGAGGATTGAGTGTCGGTCGGCCTATGAACCAAAGGATTGCGGGTTCCATTCCCAGTCAGGGCGCATGCCTGGGTTGTGAGCCAGGTCCCCAGTGGGGGCACACGAGAGGCAACCACACACTGATATTTCTCTCCCACTCTTTTTCTCTCACTTCCTTCTCTCTAAAAATAAATAAATAAAATCTTTAAAATAAAAATAAAAATTCCAATTTGACTGGGTGGCTCGTACTTCACTTGCTAAATCTGGCAACCCTTCCGAAGTTTCCTGCCATTGCTTGGCCACAGGCTCACATGGAAACCCCAGAACCCAAGGGACAGAAAGCCAGGTGGCCCTTGCTTGGACAGGCACTGTGGCCTTGTCCCTCTGTGACAGGGGAGGCAAAACCAAGGCTGGGTGCTGAGCCTCACACACTCTGTTGCAGTATATCCGCGTGTCCTATGACACCAAGCCCGATTCGCTGCTTCATCTCATGGTGAAGGACTGGCAGCTGGAGCTGCCCAAGCTCCTAATATCTGTGCACGGAGGCCTCCAGAACTTCGAGATGCAGCCCAAGCTGAAGCAGGTGTTCGGGAGAGGCCTCATCAAGGCCGCCGTGACCACCGGGGCCTGGATCTTCACGGGGGGTGTCAGCACCGGTGAGAGCAGACTCAGAACTCCTTCTCTCCTAAGAGCTTTGCAGTAATTGAGATCGAAAAACAGAAGGTATTGCATCTTAGTCATATTTATGACGGGAGTGAAGTCTTTATTCAGTAGCTTGTGGGGTTTTTTTTTAAATTTAAATTTTGATGTGATTTGTTGTAATGGTCAACATTTCTGGTACCCACTATGCATGCTGTTCCTTGAACGGAGCCCTGTATGAGCCTCATTTTCATTGAGGTTGTTGATTGTCCTTTCTCTAGCATATGGGACAGGAAACTGAGGCACAGAGGGGCTGACGGACGTGTCACAGTCTGGCTGTGAACTTTAACTGAACATAGCCAGGGAGTGCCAAAGAGACCCAGCGACTTCCATCCATAGAGATATGTAAAGGGAATCCCTTCACAGCCAGTTTGGTTTTGGTTTTGTTGAGTTTTAACAGGAAGGGAGAGAGAAACATCAATTAGTTGCCTCCCATACGCTGCTCAAATGGGGGCCGAATCCGCAACCTAGGCATGTGCCCTGACCGAGCATCGAACCCACAACTTTCTGGTGTACGGGATGATGCTCCAAGGAACTGAGCCACCCAGCCAGGGACAGTGCACTTTCTTTTGAAGACAAAGATCATTATGTCTCAATGCTGTTCCTTGGGAAAAGAAGTGGTTCAGAGAAGGGGTCCCTAAAGTTCACAAATAGTGAGATGCTGGGGGGTGGGTAAAGGACCTAAAACTGTGACTTCTGGCTGCTCCCAGGTGTCATCAGCCACGTTGGGGACGCCTTGAAAGACCACTCCTCCAAGTCCAGAGGCCGGGTCTGTGCTATAGGAATCGCTCCCTGGGGCATCGTGGAGAATAAGGAAGACCTGGTTGGAAAGGATGTAAGGGTTTTCCCCTCAGACATGGGCGGTTTGTCAAAATCAGTCTTCATTTAGAGGTAATTGTAGATCCCCTTCTCTCTCTGGCCTAAGAAAGAGAGGTCCCATATCCCCTAGGCCCAAAGGTAACATCTTGCAAAACTAATGGCCCAATATCACGACCAGGATCTCGACATAGATACAATCGAGATACACGGTGCTTTTGTCACCCCTACCCACCCCCTGCCCCACGTCGCCCTTGGACATCCACCCCTAATTCCCTCCCGCCCCCTGGGAACCAGCATCTGCCCTGCCTCTAATTTCACCACTTCAAAAATGGCATGTGAACAGACCCAGATCGTTTGTGTACATCAGTGATTTGAGGTTTCCAGTCGGCTATTACCAATAAGCCTGCCGTAAACATTTACGGACAGGACTTTGTGTTAACATACGTTTTCATTTCTCTGTGATCGATGCCCCAGAGTACAATTTCTGGGTTGCTGTTATCCACAATAATTTAATCGTTTCTCACTGAATACAGAAATTCGCAAAAACAAAAATCCTTCCTTTGAGAGAATAAGAAACGCACTGTTAGAGGAAGCGGTTGCTGCATGCGTAGGATCACTTGCTTCCCCTGCTGGTGCCCTGCTCTGACGCGCGCTGTGCGTTTTGTCAGGTGACACGAGCCTACCAGACCATGTCCAACCCCCTCAGTAAGCTCTCTGTGCTCAACAATTCCCACACCCACTTCATCCTGGCTGACAACGGCACCCTGGGCAAGTACGGCGCTGAGGGGAAGCTCCGGAGGCAGCTGGAAAAGCACATCTCTCTGCAGAAGATCAACACCAGTAAGTTCTGGCAAAGGCCAAGGACAGTGGGCCCCCAGAGGGAAACTGCCCCCGGGGTGTTTAAAGCCTTAACCTTGGTTCCTGGTAGAGCAGTGGAAGAGGGCTTGCCTAAGCCTTTTCCTGAGCCACCTACAAAGCACACCCCACTGAGCTGTGTCCCGAAGCTTTGTCCCAAGATCGACCAGGAGGGTTGACGCAAGAAACAGCTCTGCAGGGGTTGCCAGGGTGATGGCAACTGCCCGCCATGTTGGCCAGTGGTTCCGGTTCCCTAGAGTTGTTATAGTTATCTTTTTAACACTCGGACAAAAACCATTTCTCAAAGACTTAGCATGGTTTCCTCTATCCTGTGAGTGTTGTGTGATCCCTCGATTGAATAGCCCCAGCTCTGGTCTCGCAGCCAGACCAAGGCGGTGCGAGCCAGGGGGAGGATGCTGAGGTCAAGCTAGAGAGGAAGGAGCAGTCCTCAACCACATGCAGTGATAATAACAACCCGTTAGAGTGAAAATAACCGGGATAACCTCTTGGAACATGTTCCTACTCCAGTGACTTGTATAGCTGAACGGTGATTTTTAGTGATTTAGTAGATCACTACAAAGTGATCTTCGAGAGTATTTTGTCTTTACCACGACTGGTGTGATTTTTGTGCACAACAACCTGGAAATGATCATTATGAAGTGCAATTAAAGGGGCCATCTTCACTGTGATTAGAGGGGAGAAGGCCTGCTACGCAAAGTTGTGGATTTCTAAGGATCTGCTCTCCGTTGATAAATCGGCTGGTGACTGAATTCTTTGTTCTCACGTGTTTGTAAGTCTCACACTGCCCAACTTCACCTGGCCACGTGACTGGTGGGCTTCCCTTTGTCATCCTTTGCCTAGGGCTCTGACTGGGGCAGGGACAGCAAAGGGGTGCTCAGCTGTCACCTCTCACAGGATGGAGCATCGGGGAGTCCAGCCTAAACCATGAAGAATTCATTCCACTCCATTTCCGGAAACAAAGGGGATTCAGCAACCACATTCCCGAATGTCTAAAACGCTAAACCTTGCTTTGGTTGGGGACCTCCGAGGCAGGGTCCGGGTCATCTTGGTCCATCTTTCCAGTTTCTCTTGGGCAGGGCCGGGCCCAAAGGGGACCTTCACACACACAGTTGCCGAACTGAACTTAACTGAGATTATTCTAGTAAGAGTTGTCCAGACTACGTAGAAGTTCCTGGCAGTAGAAAGGCGTCACAGAAGCAAACCAGAAACTCTGACTTCCCCCACTTGAAGTTCTCAGCTCTTGCCCTGGCCAGCCTGTGTGGCTCAGTTGGTTGTCCTGCAAAGTGAAAGGTCGCCATTCAGTTCCTGGTCAGGGCGCCCAAGCCTGGGCTGCAGGTTCAGTCCCCCCGGAGAGGCAACCAATCGATGTTTCTCTCCCTTTCTCCCTCCCTCCCTCTCTCTAACAAATAAATAAATATTTTATTTTAAAGAGATCCTTAGATCTCCTAACATATGCTGGCAGATATCCTCCAAAGTCCCTCCGAACAGTGAGACCGAGGACCCTTCTCCCACTTGGCATTGGTGGATGGTAATCAGATAACTCCCATGACGTCTGGTGGAAGGTGCTCAGGACATAAGGTCACGGTCAGGTTGGGGTGAAGCTGTGAATGAGGCCCATTTGTCTCTGCTGCCCTTCCATTGCCCGAGCCCCAGGTTCTTTGGAGTCTCCTGCTGCCTCTGGCTTCCCAGAGCACCCCCGCCCCGCTGGTTTGGTCACCCATGTCCAGTTGCTCCTGCCTTGTCCCTGGAGAGCCCTGTGGTTTGCTGGAGACTGGGGACAGACCCTCAAGGGCTAATGTCATCAATGGGTTTCCCTCCTTGGACTCACTGCCTGTTTCAGATGCCGGAGGCAGAAACAACTACGGGAGTTACCACACTGACAAGCCACTTAAGGTTTGCAGAGTACTTGGATGTCCCAACAGCTTCCTATACTCGTATTTAATGCCCCTTTAGGACACAAAGGGGTGCAGCAATGGTACACCTTTAACGTATGTTCCTGTAGGGCCCGTGGTGGCTTGGTCATAAGAGTAATTCCTGAGACCAGGTGGTAAACTGAGCTCTGTTATCGCTGGTCCAGTGCTGTTCCCTGTGTCGTTCCTTTTATTTTTTATTTTTTATAATCTTTATTTATTTATTTTTAGAGAAAAGAGAAGGGAGGGAGAAAGAGAAGGAGTGGTTTCTCTCATATGCACCCTGACTACGGGGCCGAACCTGCAACCCAGGCATGTGCCCTGACTGGGAATGGAACCTGCGGCCTTTGGCTTTTCGGGACAATGCCCAGCAGACTGAGCCACACCGGCCAGGGCCACTGTGTCGGACCCTGGGGCAGGGCGGCAAGGGAGGCCTTTTTCCAGCTGAGAGAACCTTACAGTGTCTCTCCCCTTGAAGCAGCCCGCATGCCAGCTGAGCTGTGCAGGGAGCTCCACCCCAGAGGACTCTGGAAGGTCGTGGTTTTAAGTCTCTGCTTTTTCCAACATGGCCACAATGCGGAGTTTGAATTAAAGAATGAACACCACTGCCACAGGGTCTCTCAGCGAGCATGCGCACCTGCCGCCCCGGCGGCTGGTAGTCAGTCTGTAATGTGAGACGTGCGGGCGAGCAGCGGCTGGTGCTGGGACGCAGGCCTGAGGGCGAGCGCGCTGTGTGTTGCAGGGCTGGGCCAGGGCGTGCCCGTCGTGGGCCTCGTGGTGGAAGGCGGCCCTAACGTCTTCTCCGTGGTCCTGGAATATCTCTGGGAAGAGCCTCCGGTCCCCGTGGTGGTTTGTGACGGAAGCGGACGCGCCGCGGACATTCTGTCTTTCGCGCACAAATACTGTGAGGAAGGAGGGTAGGATTTCTGACCTGTCCCCAGGGGTGGGTTTTTAGCTGTCTTGCTGGGTTAGGCCCAGAAGGAAACCTTAGCCATTCCAAAAACGTTAAATCAGGAAGATGCACGTGATTCTCCCATTTCCCCCGAGGGCGGCAGGAGAAGGAGCCATCCAGACCTGCGATATTTCTTACAGAATCCCTCCTCTGGGGCGCGCACTCTCTGCCAGCTTCATTTCCCCTTATAAGGTTTTCCACACGCCTGGAAGATAGGACAAGTGTGAACGCAGTTTCACACTCTGCTCCCTTTTCATCTGCTGTCCCGGGATCCCCTCCAGTGGAAAAGTTTCTCACCAAAGACACCAGATGGACCTAGAGATGTCAGATTGGTTCCCAGTCACTGACTTAACTTGGGCTGTCTTCCTCTCTTTGGCGTTTCCTTTGAACAGGGTAATAAATGAATCTCTCAGGGACCAGCTCCTGGTCACCATGCAGAAAACATTTAATTACAGCAAGACGCAGTCACATCAGCTGTTTGCGATTATCATGGAGTGCATGAAGAAGAAAGAGCTCGTAAGTGTCTTGAGAGAACTTCCGAGCCAGCTCCGCTGAGAGAGTTGTGTTTCCTCCCTAATTCTGTCCGTGTGTGCGTGACGGGCTTGCTCACGTCTCAGCTTTGCTTTTCCAAGAGGCGGCGTACAAATCCACACCACACTGGCTGTCACGCCCACGGGACGGCCGCCGTGTGAGCTCACGCGGTAGAGCCACCCAGGTGCATTCAGACCTCAGCTGAGGTCAGGTGACGTCACACCAACTCGAACAGGCACCATATCAATCAGATCTAAAGATCTGAGGGCCGACACACACTACTTTTCTAGGTGAGCTTGTAAAATCGTATCCCATCACTTTCCAAATGCAGTACAGGCATCGCTCACAGATAGCGTGGGTTCGGTTCCAGACCACCGCAGTAAAGCGCGTTGTAATCTTTTTGCTGGTGGAGGGTCTTACCTTCAATTTGTGTAACAAAAAAAACCATGCAGTATTTGTGAAGTGCAATAGAGCAAAGCGTAGTTAAACAAGACGTGCCTGTAATTATTTCTCACTCCTTGTCTCCTTGATGAATCTTATCAGGAACAGGCACCCTCATTGCGTACATAAGATAGCCTCTTCGAAATTCTACAGACTTTTTATAAACACAGGCACACTTCAGAGATACTGAGGGTTGGGTTTTGGACCACTATGATAAAGCAAATATTGCCATAAAGCGAGTCACGCAAATTTTTTACCCATGCATAATAAAAATCCCGGTCACACTATACCGAGGTCTATTAAGTGTGCAATAGCATTACATCTAAAAAAAATCAATGGACATGCTTCAATTAATAAATACTTAGTTGCTAACAAATTCTAACCATCATCCAAGGCATCTGTGAAGCTGTCTGTCATCTTTTAGCTGGTGGAAGGTCTTGCCTTCAACTTGTAAACTCGATACCTGCAGAACACAGTAAAATGAAATAGCCCCTGGCTGGTGTGGCTCAGTAGATTGAACGCCGGCCGGTGAGCCAAAAGGTTGCTGGTTTGATTCCCGGTCAGGGCACATGCCAGGGTTGTGGGCTGGGTCCCAGTGGGGGGCACACAAGAGGCAGCCTCACACTGTTGTTTATCTCTCTCTCTTCTTCTCTCTTTAAAAATAAATAAAAATCTTTTTTAAAAAAATGAGGTAGGCTTGTATGTCAAACCTGAGTAGAAATGATTTTGTCGTAACTATTTAGACACTGGCGTGTAGAACCTGAATGAGCCTATGGGGTAATAAAATAAAATCCAGGCACAGGCTCCGAGTCAGGACAAGCAATGCTGTCACTTCTGGAAGCCAGATGACCCAGGTTTAAAATGGTTTTGCTCTCAGACTCGTTGCCTGTTCGTCCCTGTGATCCTTTTAAAAGATCACCCTGCCCTGGCCAGGTTGCTCGGTTGGTTGGAGCGTTGTCCGGTGCGCCAAAAGTTTACAGGTTCGATCCCTAGTCAGGGCGCACATGGGAGACAACGGATCCATAGCTCTCTCTCACATCGATGTTTCTCTCTCTCCCCCCACCTTCCTCTCTCTGAAAAAATCAATAAACATATCCTTGGTTGAGGATTAAAAAAAACAACCTAATTCCCTCCTTGTATTCAACTTCTTTTTTAAAAATTTTATTTATCTTTAAAGAGGGGAAGGGAGGGAGAAAGAGAGGGAGAGAAACATCAATACGTGGCTGCCCCTCACTCGCACCCCCCACCCGGCACCCGGTGGCAACCCAGGCATGTGCCCTGACTGGGAATTGAACCGGTGACCCTCTGGTTTGCAGGCCCACACTCAATCCACCGAGCCACACCAGCCAGGGCTCAACTTCTCTCTACTCAGTGTTTTCATGATCAACCTGTTTCCAGGTGACCGTGTTTAGAATGGGAGCCGAGGGGCAGCAAGACATGGAGATGGCGATTTTAACTGCCCTGCTGAAAGGTGAGCTGTGGGGAGATGGTGCCTCCTGTCCTTTCAGGGAATCTGTCCCCTTCTCCTGTTGGTGGCAGAGCCCCGAGCCAGCCAACTGCCTAGACTCATCTCAGTAGGAAGCCAAGATAGAACGACAGGGGTCCCCCACGGCCGTCAGCTGTGGACCGTGACAGCTGAAGCCAGAACCAGTTTCCATCTGGAATCCATTTGTGAAGGGTTTCGACTCACAGAGAGTAAACACCAAATGGGGTCCCCCCCTGACCAATCACTGCGTCCTGCAGTGTCTTGTCCAATCACCCTGCTCCTCTCCTAATGACCAGCTGGCTGCAACCTGACCACTCCTGGGTGACTTGGGGACAGGCACCTCCTGCCTGCCTTGTGGCTCTGCTGGGACAGTGACAAACAGCAGGAGAGAGAGGAGAGGGCATCACCAGCCCGGCTGTGCTGGGCTCGTTCTCTGTGTGGCTGGCTGCACGGTAGTGCTCTCTCGGGCTGCCCTCACCTCCAGACTGGGGTGCAGTACCCCCTGGCCTGTCCTGGCGGAGGCCTGACAGTCCCAAGTGCAGATAAGGGTCTCAGAGTCACTGGGTTGCCTCCCGCCTCCTCCCAGGCAGCGCCTTGAGAAGATGGAGTTCCTAACTTTGGGGCCTGGGTAGTCACTCCAGGGCCCAAAAAGAGGCAGCACTGCTTAGCTCCAGCCCCAAGCCCCGGGTGGTCCAGGCACCGAGAGAGAATCGCCTGCCTTCTTGCCTTTCCAGGAACCAACGCATCAGCTCCAGACCAGCTGAGCTTGGCGCTGGCGTGGAACCGCGTGGACATAGCGAGAAGCCAGATCTTTGTCTTTGGGCCCCACTGGCCGGTGAAACTGTTTTCCAATTCATGCCATTTCTCCTGACTTTGTTCAGATGCTTCTTTAGTTTGCACTCCCCTTTCAACCCCCCGCCCCCCCCCCGTCTCTGTGAATAATCTGGGGGGGGGGGTGTTCTGATGATTCAGCACTCTATCCTCTAGGATTATTGGGAGACACTGTTGTTATTTAACATCAAAGAACCAGGAGGAAGTTAGAGCTACCAGTGCTAATCACAGACTCAAACCGGTGCTCTTGAAGAAATTATCACTAAACATTTTAGCATAGCAGGTGAAAGTGGGTTTTTACCCTTTTATTTATTTTAAAGATTGTATTTATTGATTGCTAGATAGTGGGGAAGTGAGGGAGAAAGAGAGAGAGAGGAACATCAATATGTGGTTGCCTCTTGCACGCCCCCTTTTGGGGACCTGGCCTGCAACCCAGGCCTGTGCCCTGACCGGGAATTGAACCGGCTGTGTCTCAGTTCAAAGGCCGGCACTCAATCCACTGAGCCACACCAGCCCTGGCAAAGTTTTTACCCTTTTAAACAAATGAGAAAAATAGCTCCTTAAAATTAAATACAATGATTGCACTGAGGGCATGGAGTTTTCAAACTATTTCAGGAAACCATGGAGCCCTGAGGACTCTGTGTGTGTGTGTGCTCACGTTTGCACGAGTGCCTGCATGTGCACAAGTGCCTGTGTGTGCGCAAGTGACTGCGTGTGCTAATGTGCATGTGTGTGTGTGTTTTCCCCATTCTGCTTGCTGCGGATGCAGCCCCTGGGCAGCCTGGCCCCCCCAGTGGAGAGCAAGGTCATGGAGAAGGACAAGAAGCCACCCACGGCGACCACCAAGGCGGGCAGAGGGAAAGGAAAAGGCAAGAAGAAGGGGAAAGTGAAAGAGGAGGTGGAGGAGGAGACGGACCCCCGGAAGATCGAGCTGCTGAACTGGGTATGTGGGGAGTCTCTGCTCCGGTATCTTGGGGTCCTCAAGTTCCAGAGGCCAGCGGCCTTGTCCTCGAAGGGAAGGGGCACCCAGGTGCCTCAACTCCAGCCCCAACCCGGGCCCTGGCTCCCAGGAGGCCACAGGAAGGCATTGACGAGATCACGCCTGTGTCACCTGTGCTGGGGTGCAGCTGTCAGGTTGTCACTAACGTTCCTGCTTTGGGGGCCTAAAGCCACCGACAGAGGAGTCTGGAGCATCAGGCTCAGCAGCAGGTCTCTCTGCCCGGCAGACACGCAGGTGCTCCAGGTGGGAGAATACGTGCAAAGCCCAGGCCTGGGACTGGGTGGAGCGGACACTGACGGGACACAGGCCAGACAGGACCCCGGTCTGCAGTGACGGGTGGCCGGCATGGTCGCTGTCGCTCACCCTGGTGGCACACCGCACGCCCTCTCAGCCCCGCCCGGCTGCCACACAGGGGACTTTAAATCAAGGAGACAAACCCTGCCCAGCAAGTTTTCACATTGTACCGAGGGCTGCAGGGGCTGTGACGCTGGGGACTGAGACGTAAATACTAAACCGTGGTCAGTAAAATAGTGCGATCCGCCACCTCGGAAACCATCGTTTGTGGGGGGTGGGAGCTTGGAGATTCCGGTACGGATCGCAGTTTGATTTCGAAAAGAATGCGGCTCATGTGGTTTTCTTCCTGGTGTTGACGTGACAAGAAAATCGAATAAACTGTCTTAATTAAAAACAAACCTGGAAGCTGGAGAGGGCAGCGGCAGTTTGGCTGTTAGTTTGCATCGTGTTCAGCTTGTTTTAAAAAAAGGAGAAAATCGCTTCTTTTTCCTCTCTATTTTTTAGAAGATTTTATTTATTTAAATAAATTTTATTTATTTAAATAAAATAAATAAAAGGGAGAGAAACATCAGTGTGTGGTTGCCTCCCTACTGGGGACCTGGCTCACAACCCAGGCACGTGCCCTGACTGGGAATCGAACCGGCAACCCTTTGGCTCTCAGGCTGGCACTCAGTCCACTGAACCAGAGCCTTTTTTTTCTTTTCATTGAACTTGGATGGTTGGTCTGACATTTACCCGCAGGCCCAACTGATGGGAAAGGGGAGGGAAGATGGGTGTGTTTACCTAAGACAGAGAGCAGAGAGAGCCCCACTCAGAAAGCTCTAGAATCTGGGGAGTGGGGTCAGAATACGCTTTGGGGGATGTTTCCCACCTGCCTCCTGCCTCGTGTCCCCCCAAGAGGACACTCCCAGGCTCCCCTCCTCCCTCGTGCAGGTGAACGCTTTGGAACAGGCCATGCTGGATGCTTTGGTCTTGGATCGCGTGGACTTTGTGAAGCTCCTGATTGAAAACGGAGTCAACATGCAGCACTTCCTCACCATCCCGAGGCTGGAGGAGCTTTACAACACGGTGAGTGGCCCAGGAGGGGGCGCGGAGGGGCGCGCCGGGCACCCCAACCACTGGTGTGAGGTGCTCAGAGGGGCCTGGAATTATTGAAAAACCATTTCTGTGGGAGGGTCCCCCTTTGATAGCAGGCAGGTATTTTATTTACTAATTTATTGTTTTTATAGTCTTTAAAACCCCAGGGTAGGCTTTTGCTCCAAGCTGAAGAGGAAACCATAGTTAACATGGTTGAACCCTTGCTTGCCTTTCAGAGACTGGGTCCACCAAACACTCTGCATTTGCTGGTCAGGGACGTTAAAAAGGTCAGTCTGATGTTTCGTCATCCTTATCGACGGGCATCTTTCCATAACGGATTTGTTAAAAAATTTATTTTCCAATTAACGTTGACAAACAGCATTGTATTAGTTTCGGGTGTGCAATGTCGTGATTAGGCATTTGTGTTAGAGCTTGATCCCCCTGATAAGTCCAGTGCCACCCGACCCCGAACAGAGTGATGACAATACTACCGGCTGTATCCCCTGTGCTGTGCTTTACACCCCCGAGACTGTTCTCTAACTTGGACTGCTCAAGGAGGCATTTTACAGAACAACTTTTAAATTTCTAGAATGTATGCTCCTCTTATTGATGGCCCAAGAAATAATGAACCCCTCTCTTCATGAAAAGAATTCATTTTTTTGTTTTTACAATAAAAACAAAATCATCCTTTTTGAGTTTGGTGCTCCTCCTCTCACGTGATAGGCTGAACGAGTGGTGAGGGGCAGGCCCCACGGCCAAGGCCAGGGCGTCAGCCAGGGGAAGGCCCGCCTGTGGCTGCCCCAGCCACCTTCTGTCCCTGCTGCCTCGCGTTCTGTGTCTGCGTTGAGACCTGCCACTCTGCCTCTTTCTCGAAGTACCATGACGACATGCCTCTGTCACTCTGTGTGTTCCAGGGAGCAAAGCAGTTGTCCTTGACCCTCTCTGTTCCCTCTTTGGGAAGTGACATCTGTTCCCCACTTCCCACTGATATGAAGAATAACAGTCTGTTTGCTTGCGGGACCCCATCTGCTCACCTCCCGTCCTGGTCTTTCTTGAGTCGTATGGCCACAGGCTAAATCAATGAATGGGATTGACATTGGAAGTGATTCATTCCACTAGAACGCCGCCGTCCCTGCATGCTCAGTGTGGCATGTGCATTCATATTCTCAGCCAGAGAAACTAACTCAGATGGGGGAATGGAGGAGAGACTCCCCAGTACTCTGGTCACGTGTTGTACAAAGTCTAGTGGTAATAGCAGGAGGCAGTCTTTGGACCCTGCCCCCCCCAACTCCCAATCGCACCAGGTCACTTGTGGGTCCAGGTCCTTACTGAAATCTGGGGGCACTTCAGAAACTTGCAGTGCACCATGGGAAGCTGCCAGTGGAGATGCCGGGTCCCCAGGGATAGTCCCTCCATCCACAGCCTCCCACAGAGCCCGCCTTCCTGTTACCCGTGAAATCTGGATTCCAGCCCCTGGAAGTGGGCTTCTGCCCTGCAAGCGGCTAGCAAAGCACCTTCTCCACAAAACCCATCTGCCTGGACAAAGGAGGGTCACCCAGCCGCATGATTCACTGCTTTCTGGTTACACAGGCACGCTGCAGGCCATGCTGTCTAAACCCAGTCTCTTCTACTGGACTTCTAACTCTTCTCCCTGGGAAAGTGCAACCCATTTTCTAAAGTACATCAGAGTCACATGGCGATAGACAGAGTGCCCCATTGTTACCCTAGCGCCTGAGCAGGGACCAGGGTTGGCTACTCATGCCTGAGGGGTGAGGGGTGAAGTCCACGCTTCTCACAGGGCCTGAGACTCCGCCTCTTGTCTTCCAGGGCAACCTGCCTCCCGATTACCACATCAGCCTCATTGACATCGGGCTGGTGCTGGAGTACCTCATGGGGGGCGCCTACCGCTGCAACTACACGCGCAAGAGCTTCCGGACCCTTTACAACAACTTGTTTGGGCCCAAGAGGGTAGCACTGAGGGACCGTGTGTGGTGCTGGGTGGTATTGGAGTCGCGCGGGCTTCCTTGTTGCCTTTCCCAATAACTCAGCCTGTTCAGAGTCAAGCACCTCACTCTGTCCCCAAGCACGGCTGCCCTTCCTCCTGCAGGGACTCAGGTGTGAGGCCTAGCTGTCCCTGCAGACGCCCAGGCTTCACCTGGGGCCACTGGCCTTTGTCCTTAACAAGCGGGGATGCTCAGATCCCCCAAGGGGGGACCCCTTTGCATCTGCCCTTCACCCACCCCCGGCTTTGTTGCTGCCCTCTTCATCCTGTGGCTGTGGGGACCTACTTCTTCCAAAGCAAGGGTTGGGTCAGTGGCTCACCCCCTGCTCAGAGGCTCCCAGGGCTCCTTGCAGCCTGAGGATTCACTGCCAAGGTCATTGTCCCTGTATCTAAGACTGTCCGACAAGCTGTCAGTGATCCCCATCCTGTCGTGGGGGACCAAGGACCTCTGCCAAAATCCAACTGTGTGACTGTGGTGGCTGGGTTTCCCCCCACCCCCTGCACCCCAATCAAAATTCTTTGCTTGGCTCAAGCCCGACACAAATAGCCCTTGCCCTGCACTTGGACCCCGCAGCACCGTACCCGAATTTCTGTGAGTGAACTTCTCTGGTTCCGGCTGGAACGAGGGTCACGTGTCTGCACATTCTTCCCCTTGGCTGACTTCACGGAAGCCGAGCTTCCATATTAAGGCATTTCCTTTCCTTGGCCATCGTCCTCAATTGTTAATCTGTTATTATTTCTCTTGCAAACTCTCCTGTCAAAGTCCTGCTCACATTGATTATCTGACCATATTGTTGGTTTTTTTCTCCCCTTTCACCATGCAGCCTAAAGCTCTTAAACTCCTGGGAATGGAGGTAAGTCGGGTTTGTTTTCCACAGTTTGTGGTATCTTGGTTGGATACGTGAGCCATCTTCGTTTTGTATTTAACATTAAACTGAATGAGTTTGTTTTCCGTGACTAAATCCAGTGCATCATACACACCAAATTTGCTTCGATGATTCCATCAAATTATGGAAAGTAACTGTAGATGTTTTAAAAAGTTAGATATTACCCAATTCATTTTCTAGAATTAGCAAAACCATGCTTTCAAAAGCAGACAAAGATCAAACCAAAAACCTCTGAGAATAATGGCACTTATGTACACAAAAATAATAAATAAGCTCAAAATACATTCAATGGAATATTGTTAAAGTCATAAACAAGTAATTAAAGTCTTCTAAGAATGCAAAGATGATTTAATGTTAATAAGTCTTTAATAGATTGCCTCATATGAATAAGTTAAAGAAGAAAACCAGTATGACATGATCATTTTTAATAGATGGTAAAGAATTAAAAAATTAAAAATAGAGCTGCCATATGATCCAGCAGTATGACTTCAGGGTCTTTAGCTGAAGAAAACAAAACCACTAAGTTGAAAAGATATATGCACCCCTACGTTCATTGTAGTGTTATTTATAATAGCCAAGATGTGGAAGCAACCAAGGTGTCCATTGATGAATGAATGGATAAAGAAGTGGTATAGCTCTGGCCAGGTAGCTCAGCTGGTCAGAGCATCATCCTGATATACCAAGGTTGTGGGTTCGATCCCCAGTCAGGGCACATACAAGAAACAACCAATGAATGCATCAATAAGTGGAACAACATGTTGACGTTACCCTCTCTCTTCCTCTTTCTCCCTCTCTCCCAAAAATTAATCAATAAAAAAGGAAGATGTGGTACATATAGACAGTGAAATACTACTCAGTGATAAAAAGGAATGAAATCTTGCCATTTGAAATAGCACAGATGGACCTAGAGGATATTTTGCTAAGTGAAATAAACCAGACAAAGAAAAACAGCATACGATTTCACTTCCAGTTGGAATCTCAAAAAACTGACATGAGTGAACAAGCAAAACGAAAACAGACCCACAGGTCGGAAGAACGAGCTGATGGTTGTCAAAGGAGGGGGTAGGGAGAGCGTGAACAAAAAAGGAAAAAATGTAGAATAGTTTCCTTAACTTTTCTTAAGAATTAGTTTACTAGAAACAGACCGCCAAAATAAAATAAATGGGAGTAAACACACTTCCTGGTGTGATTAACATACACGGAAAGCTTACGGAAGAGGAAATCCATGACCGAGCAGGGAACCACTGGAGTCCTTTCTGTTCAAATCAAGAACGAGACAAGGCAGCCTGTTATTGTTGACGTCATCGTTTTCCCCATTAGCTCTTCACAGTGTTTTGGAAACTGTGACGCCTAAAGAATTCACATTTCGAAAAGTACCTTAAAAGGGGAGGAAATAATCATCAGCAAAAAAAGTCTGTTGTATCTAGAAAACCCAGGAAAATCCACTAAAAATTTCTGTGACATTAGGACAAAAGTACTCAGAAATAAGCTTTAAGAAGGAACCTTAAGAACGAAGCACATGGACACAAAAATATTTGAATAGTGGGCGCAGGCTCTCGGTGGCTCTCAGGCACTTTCCTGCCTCAGGGATGCCTTGGTGATCGTGCCACGCAGCTGCCTGCATTGCCTGAGCCCCCTGGGAAGGGCAGCCACCCTCAAGAGAGCATGTAATAATGAGGTCTGAAGATATAAAAAGAATGAACTAGCCCTGGCTGGTATGGCTCAGTGGATTGAGCACTGGCCTGCGAATCAAAGGATTGATGGTTTGATTCCCAATCGGGGCATATGCCTGGGTTGCAGTTCAGGTCCCAGTTGGGGGCGCAGGAGAGGCAACCACACGTGGATGTTTCCCTCTCTCTCCCTCCATTTCCCTCTCTCTAAAAAAAAATTAAAATCTTTTTGAAAAAGAGAATAAACTAGAGGCATGGCAAGACAACAAAAAAATCTCTTGTGGAAGAAAAGTAATATTCAACTGTAAGAATCTAAAAACATCCCCCCCCCCCCGCCGTGCATATCCTCCAAAAGCAGAAATAAACAAACCACCTCAACCTTAGCAACTGACCCTGATTAGTTGGCAACTATCACCCTGCAGGCAAGTCCACCCACCAGCCAAAAGATTAAGGCTTGCTGAAAGCTCAGATGAGATTAGCATTATTTTAGCATTAAAGTATTTTTTTTAATTACATGGCCTGGCATTGAACTTGCAATAGGTCCGAGATGCAATAGGTCCGAGATGTGCCTGTGTAAGATGCCAACTTTTGCATACAGTGTCAGAATACATCTTAATCAGAGTGCAGCTGGAAGTATTTGTTTGTTGTGGAAATGAATACATATTGAAATGCAATGCAATGGTAATTTCGAAAAAAATACCGGTCTTGACATGAAGTCTCTGAGCATAAAAAGATATTGAAATGAATGGAAGAAAGGCCGTATCACAGAATGCTGAAATTGAGTACCGCAGAGACCCTTCTCAAACACATGCCTGTGTTACGTCGCATCCCCATTTCTGGGTGGATTCAGGGTAGGTTGTTTTGATCCTGTGTTCCCAATTAAGGCAGACCTTTAGCGTGGTGGCATTGTGGTTGCTGGAGTTGTGGTCCCATACGGGTTATGGTATACAGCTTTCCGTAATTGTCTGTTCTTTCAAAATCTCTGAGTCACGTCGGGTTTGTCTGTCGGGTGAAGTTGTGGTAGGTAGCCCTCGCCTCTAAAAATAGCGTGGTCTCAGCCCTGATTGGGGAGCTGTCTTTCAGTACTTCTAAAATAACTTGTATGTTATGGGTCAGTTTGGGCTTTTCTATTTCCTTGAGTTAACTTTGGTCATTGACATTTTTCCAGAAAACCATGATTTCAGCTAGACCTTCAAGTTCATTGGTGTGAAGTTTTACATAGTATTCTAATTTTTCATCTATTAATTTTTTATTGATTTGAGAGAGAGAGAGGGAGGGAGAGAGAAAGAGAGAGAAACATCGATTTGTTTTTCCACTTACTTATGAATACATTGGTTGATTCTTGTATGTGCCCTGACTGGGGATCGAACCCACAACCTTGGTAGTCTTGGGATGATGCTCTGACCATCTGAGCTACCTGACCAGGGTCCGTAGTATTCTAACTTCTTGATCTCTTCAATATCTTTAGCTGTATGCCATTTCTTGATCCAGTTTTTCAAAATTTATATTTTCTCTTTTTTCCTTAACCATATTTGCCTATGTATCTGGCGTTTTTGCTTTATCAAACAACTATCTTTATTCTGTTTCCTATTTTAGTAATATCTGCCTTTCATTTTCATTCATGTCTTCCGTATGTTTCCTATTGAGTTACCATACTGCTTTTCCTGACTCAGTTTGAAAATGTAGTTTGCTCATTTTCTGTCTTCCCTGTGTTCCAATAAATGTAATAAAGGTTTAATTTTTCTCTGAGCATTGTTTTCATGGTATCCCACAGGTTTGGGTAAATAAAACCTTCATTGCCATCATTTCTAAATATTTATAACTGCCTCTTTCACCCCAGTTGTTTATAAGCATATTTTAATTTTTCTAGGTACAGACTTTTATTATTGCCATTATCCCACGGTTGTTCATTTCTAATTTTATTCCTTGAATGGCGATTAAGACGAAATCACTGAGATATAAAATCTCAGAGAAACAGGGTTTAATGCCCGGTTGAGTTTTGTTAATGATTCACGTGTGTAGAAAACAAATGTGTATTCTCAGTTTGTTGAGTCCAATTCTTATCCTTACCTGTCTGATCAAACTTGGTCATTATGTTATTCCATTTGCTTCTGTATGTACTAAGTTTTTCAAGTTCATTTCTTTTTTAAAACAAGGATTTTATGTACTTAATTTTAGAGAGAGGAGAGGAGAAGGAGAAAAGGAGAGAAACAGCAATGTGTGAGAGATACACCAATTGGTTGTCTCTCACATACCCCCTACTGGGACCCTGGCCCACAACCCAGGCATGTGCCCTGCCTGGGAATAGAACTGGTGACCTTTCGGTTCTCAGACTGGGGCTCAAGCCACTGAGACACGCTAGTCAGGGCTCAAGTTCATTTCTAAGTGAGATGTGTTTAAGGACACATTGTGATTTTGGACATGCTCATTTCTCTTTATATTTCCAGTTCCTGTTTTTGGTTATTTTCCTTGGTTGTTTCTCTTTTTCTTGTTTATTGTGGGAGTTCTCCGCATTTTAGGGAAGTGAAGCCCTTGTTTGTTATATTCCCTCTCTAGCCATCTTAAAATCATTTTAAAAGCATTTGCATACAATTAATATTTTTATAATATTCTATATTATTGAAATGTGGGCTTAAAAGGCCTTGTGTCCTACATTTCATTGGCCATTGATGGCTTTTTATTTGATTTAATATATTATTGTAATAAATTCTATTTAATATATTCTTGAAATATATCTTTAAAATAAAGCTTAGTTTATTTTAAAATTTCTATTATGTCAGTTTTTATCCTACATTAATCAAATTTCTCAAAATTACTGTATTGTTTTACTATGACAAAATAGGAAATTATTCCTTGGCTGGTGTGACTCAGTGGATTGAGTGCCAGCCTGAGAACCAAAGGGTCACTGGTTCGATTCCCAGTCAGGGCACATGCTTGGGTTGTGGGCCAGGTCCCCAGTAGGGGGCATGCAAGAGGCAACCACACATTGTTTCGCTTCCTCTCTTCCTCCCTTATTCTCTCTCTAAAAATAAATAAAATCTTTTAAATCAATTCTAAAATTAGAACAAAAACATTGAAATCAGAGGCAAGATATGAGAGTTTCAATTAAAATGTTATAATTCATTATGGGATTATTAAAAGGGGGGCCGTCCTGAACACTGTGGGGCAGGGACTGAAGAGCCGGGCTGCCCCCCACTCCGGCCACGCCAGCTGTGGGCAGGTCTTTCAGTCTTTTGGCCACAAATTCCTCATCTGAGGAAATGAAGAAATTCACAGCCTCTCAGAGTAAGAATAAAAGTAGATAACTGATGGGAATGTGTTTGCAGAAGAACAAATATCATTTTTAAAGATTAATTATTTTTAGGGAGAGAGGAAGGGAAAGAGAAAGAGGAGGAGAAACATCAATGTGTGGTTGCCTTTCACACGCCCCCTACTGAGGACCTGACCTGCAACCCAGGCGTGTGCCCTGACTGGGAATCGAACCAGTGACCCTTCACTTTGTAGGATGATACCCAGCCCACTGAGCCACACTTCTCAGGGCCAAATATCATTGTTATTATTCCATTGATTACTGAAATCTTAGCCTGGGACAGTCTAGGCCCCACCTATGTCCATGTTGCTTCCATGGCCCCCTCCCCAATTCTCTCAGTTTGCACACACATTATTTTCCTATCCTGCCCCAAATTAAAAACCATCCCTCATAACCCCGCTGGGAAGTGAGAAACCTGGGTGTTCCCTTTGGGCCCCATGCACCCAAAGACCAAGCTCCTTCAGAACGAACCACTGGCGTCCCTAACACATTGTCAGGGAGACCGAAGGCATTTTTCTCGACCCCAATTTATATTTGTCTGGTGGATGCCTGATTCCGCCATGTCTGCAAACCAGAATTGCTCCTGGAAGAGTTTCTTGAGGAAATAAACCGTGGGCGTTCATCTCTCCCACGGTGCTTTTTATGTTTAAGTGTGTTCTTGTTTTTGTTTTATTTCTGCAGCATCGCCTCAGTGTTTAAAACACCAGTGTGTTGTTCCATTTATCCGTGCATTCATTGGTTGATTCTCGTATGGGCCCTGACCAGGGATCGAACCTGCAACCTTGGCATGATGGGGTTTTTTTCTCAGAAAACACTGCCAACACAGGGGCACAAGTTCTTTACGCAGCAGTATGCCTTTGTGTGCATTCTCACAGTTTATTTCTCATAACAGCCACGTGCACCTTTTCAGAAGAATTAATGCACCGAGGGGGAACCCCGGATATCCTTAAAAAGGGTTTTCCTTTTCTGCATGATCCTGAGACCCTTATCTGCCCACATATATGGCAGAACCGTGGACCGTGTGCTTGTCCCCCTTCAGGATGACGAGCCTCCGGCCAAAGGGAAGAAGAAGAAAAAGAAGAAGAAGGAGGAGGAGATCGACATCGATGTGGAGGACCCGGCCGTGAGTCGCTTCCAGTACCCCTTCCACGAGCTGATGGTCTGGGCCGTGCTGATGAAGCGCCAGAAGATGGCCGTCTTCCTGTGGCAGCGCGGCGAGGAGAGCATGGCCAAGGCCCTCGTGGCCTGCAAGCTCTACAAGTCCATGGCGCACGAGTCCTCCGAGAGCGAGCTGGTGGATGACATCTCCCAGGACCTGGACAACAACTCCAAGTGAGCATCCGGAGGGAGCAGGAGGCTCTTCTCCGGAGCACCTGCCCCTTTGCAGGCAGGGGCGGTGCCTCTGTTTCTCATTTGGGTACAATTATGTTTAAAGCTGGTGCATACGTCACTCTCCAGCTGGTTGATGTTTTTCCTTCGGCCTCTCGGAGGTGTTTCTGGACTGTCGTTTTTTTGTTGGTTGGTTTGTTTTTCAATCCTCCCCCAATTATGTGATTTTATTGCTTTTAGGGAGAGGAAGGAAGGGGGAGAGAGAAAGACAAAAAAAAAAAACATCGTTTGGCTGCCTCTTGTTCACACTGGGTCCCCTTTCAGTGTCCCCCTGTCCCCTCCATGAAGGGGTAGCCACACACCTCTGAGTTCTAATCCCTCTGTGTCTTTTCTAATCTGCAGGAGAACACGTGAGGGAGGGGCTTTGTCTTCTCATCTCTGTGTTTCTGGGGCCTGAGGGGCAAATCTGGGGTCCACCTAATGCTCCCTTTGCAGCGAGAACAGCCATCCCCCGCAACATGACTGAGCACGGAGTCCCAGCCCGGCGGTTCCCCTCTGGAGACGTGCCCCCGTGAGGTTGAAGGACTGTCGTGGCTCTGTGATGTCCCTGTGGCCCAGGCTTTCTCATCGAGAACCTGTGGCCTCTGTGGCTTCAGCCCCTATTCCACCTCTTTCTGTCCAGAGACTTCGGCCAGCTGGCCGTGGAGCTGCTGGACCAGTCCTACAAGCAGGACGAGCAGATCGCCATGAAGCTGCTCACGTATGAGCTGAAAAACTGGAGCAACTCGACCTGCCTCAAGCTGGCGGTCGCGGCCAAGCACCGGGACTTCATTGCGCACACCTGCAGCCAGATGCTGCTGACCGACATGTGGATGGGGAGGCTGCGGATGAGGAAGAACCCTGGCCTCAAGGTGCGTGTGACGTGCCGGCAGGCTGGGAAGGACACAGGTTTCGTTTATTCCTCCGAGCAACCTGGTGAGGGAGATGCCATGCCAACCCTTGTCCTGAAGATGGAGAGCCTAAAAAGTCAAGATTTTTTAAAAATATTTTATTTATTTATTTTTAGAGAGGAAGGGAAGGAGAAAAGGAAAGAAATATCAATGTATGGTTGCCTCTCGTGAGCCCCCTGTTGGAAACTGGCCTGCAACCCAGGCATGTGCCCTGACTGGGAATAGAACCATGATCGTGTGGTTTGCAGGCCCACGCTTAATCCACTGAGCTACACCAGCCAGGGCTAAAAGTCAAGATTTAAAAAGTCGAGTCTTACCTAGGATCTGAGTTAGTAAGTCCGGAACCTGACCCAGGGGGGCTCACGCCCAGAGTCCGACCTGATCACTGGGTCTACCTTACAGAGCTTGGCAGCCACTGTGACAAAAATAACAAGGTTTTCACCTGGGCTGGGCAGCTTGGGTGTTTTCCTTATGGAAAGTTTGTGGGTTCAATCCCCAGTCGGAATGTGTACAAGAGACAACTGATGGATGTTTCTCTCACATCAATGTTTCTTTTTCTCCAATCAATAAACATGTCCTCGAGTGAAAAAAATTTTTTAATGTTATCAGTGGTGGGGAAAGTTATGAGAATCGACATAGCTGAAAAATCCTTTTCTCACCACCCACAGGTAATCATGGGAATTCTTCTCCCCCCCACCATCCTGTTCTTGGAATTCCGCACCTACGATGACTTCTCTTATCAGACGTCCAAGGAGAACGAAGACGGCAAAGAAAAGGAAGAGGAACCTGGGGTCAGTGCTACCCTGCCCCATGCGAGCATCAATTTGCTCTTGTTTTCAAAATCATTGAGGTTTCTCTCACTGTGAATTTAGAAACTGCAATCATTGAAGACTTTGGGGGGGGGGGATTTTTTATAATTCTTAATTTTGAAAGCCACCTGTCTGTGAAATAGTGTGGGGGCATGGTGCATTTCCCACCTAGCCACCTGCCTGCCGTGTTTTCCAGGACGCGAGCGCAGACGCCGGCTCGAGAAAGGGAGACGAGGAGAATGAGCACAAAAAGCAAAGGACTATCCCCATCGGGACGAAGATCTGTGAATTCTACAATGCTCCCATTGTCAAGTTCTGGTTCTACACGGTAAGGCCCCCCTTCTCCCTGGCCCTGTCGCCCGGTTGGGACAGTCAGATACGTTAGGGTTGAGACAGTCGTCAGGGCTGGAAAGGGATGGGACTTCTGGCAGGAAGCGCGGGCACCTGCAATTTACGTGTTATGGACAAGTGCTACCTCGGAAAAATCTAATTTCTTTTTAAAAAGGAACAATATCAAGGGCTTCATAAGGTGCTTAAAACTCACCAAATTAAAATGAATTGTTAAAATGAAACGAGCTAATTCAGATCCTCACCTAAAACTGGACCTCGCTATACTGTCATGTATTTAGACGTATGTAGAAATGTACCAAATACACCACTTCACGACGCAAAATTGCCCCATTCTATTCACTTAAGACAAAGACTTGTTCAGATGTCTTTAGTGAGACAAACTGAGCAAAGTATACTTTTGTTTAAACATACACAGGATGGCTAGTGATGGGAGAAGCAAACCCAACCTCCTGTCTTGCAGGAAGTTGGCGGGGTTGCTGCAAGAGTGTGGCCGAGCTTTGATCAGTGACTCCCAGAGTAAGGGAGCCAACCAAGGCCTCTCCACTCGGCAGTGCACACCGCACTGACCCGCTTGGCCATGCACTGTCCTCTGGCGCCTTTGGTGGCCACTCCAGGAATCCGGCCCACTGGGAGTGAGGGCAGCCCCAGCCTTGCCCCTGCTGGGGCTTCCGCAGGTGGATGGAAAAGAGAACAGTGATACGGGAGCAGAATAGAAGGCCCTGGGGGAAACTGGTCCAGCTGCAGGTGGTCACAGCAGGGGAGGCAGTCCCCTGTGGCTCCTACAGCCACGTGGGAGGGACGAGACCTCTCACAAAGGCCCAAGCACCAAGCCACGCCCACTCCAGGCACTGTGGTTCCTTTAGGCACTGGATACTACCAGGTGACAGAATGTGGGAAGCTGGGTCCCTGCCCATCGATCCAGCCGTGGCCCGGGTGAGCTGGGAGCAGAGGCAGAGCTCTGGGACGTGACACCTGGGGAGGGGGCTGCCCAGGGACTCAGGCCAGGTGTGGGCCTGGATACTCCACCTTCCCGCAGCCACAGGGAGTGACATGCCCAAAGCCTCTGTCACCCACGTATTCTGGTCAGAAGCCTCTGAGGACCAGCAGTGTCCCTGGCTGGCAGGACGGCTCAGATGCCTCTGAAGAGGGCAGGGCCAGGAGGCCAGGGAGCCCCAGCCCAGGCTTCTCAACCTCGGGGCTCGTCCCAGTGCCAACAAGTGCTGCCTGTGAGTGTGGGGGCGAGGTCACAGGTTGAGTAGCTTCCCAGGGGACAACAGTGAGCACATTTGAGACTTCTGCCTCCACTCCGCTTGCACCGAATGATAGTGGGTGCAAGGAGTGTGCTTCACCCCGGTCAGGGTTATAGAAATAAAAAAAAAAAGGATTGCCTGATCCAAATACACAATGGCGAGCCACACCCCACCCCCAGGACTTCAGCAGGGGCCTGTGCCAGCTCTGACAATGAACTTCAGACCACTTCCCTGAATCTCATCACTCACTCCCACCCCTCATCTTGTCACAAAGACAGGGACGCTGTTGCCGGTGCTAATTGAGGGGACTCGGGACAGCGCTGTGTGCCTGAGCAGACAGCTCATTGTCTTCCCTTCAAGCCTCCCACGCCCGTTGGCGTTGACGTTGGCGGTGGAGAGAGCTTTGGGAGGGAAATCTGAGAGGCAGGGAGGAGCCAGTCACACGGTCTGGTTTCCAGGAATGTAGAAGCCATACCAGTAAACTATTAATGGTTTCCCTGTTTATCATAATTTCGGGCAATGCCCTGATTTCCCCACGAGGGTGACTGTCACACAAATCTATCTTCACTTAGAAAGTCACCTGTCAGCACCCACATGGTACTAAAGTACAGATGGCCTCCCTCCCACCTCGAGGTCTCTGCCTGAATTGGGGACGTGGATGGAAGGGCCCCTCTTAATGAGTCAGCCCAGAGGGAAATGAAAATCGGCTTTACAAGATGCGTCAGGCGTAAGCCATGCTTCCAGACTCCCTTCCAGAGCGGGCGATCTCCCTCAACACGGCTCACAGGTTTTTTGTTTTTTACTTTTTCCTGTTGTTCAGATCTCGTACTTGGGCTACCTGCTGCTGTTCAACTACGTCATCCTGGTGCGCATGGACCGCTGGCCCTGTCTCCAGGAATGGGTCGTCATCTCCTACATTGTGACCCTGGCGTTGGAGAAAATCCGAGAGGCGAGTGCTTCCGAAGCCCGCCCCTGCTCCCGCCCCACCACCCCCGACTTCAGCCCAGAGGGAGCGCCTCATTGTGAGCTGGCATCATGCAAATCCTGAGTCCCAAGAGGGTTTCCTTTTGGGGGGGCTGCCACCCCAAGTTTACTCCATTGCCTTGCCTGATGCCTTCTGCATCCAACTGCATGTGAACCTGCAAAGTAAAACACGAGGCAACATAGCCCTCGCGGGCTGGCTCAGTTAGTTGGAGTGTCGTCCCGTACACCAAAAATCTGCAGGTTCAATTCCTTATCAGGGCACATACTTAGGTTGTTAAACTGTAAAATCCCTTCTCTGTTGGTTCACAAATAGTCACCACTCCTTCCCACCCCGGGGTTCCTGGGATCTACCCAGAGTCTCCATCACTAACGGGGTGCCACCTGTCACCCCAGAACCCCACCTACTGCACACCGAACTGTGTCCCTGGGGGTAGCTCTGTGTGCGCCAGCGCAATGCTGGTTGCTACATATTTGCGATTTTACTTGGGGAGGAAGTAGTGATTTTTAATCAGTGATTTTCAAAGGGTAAGAACTCAAGTAGGGGGAAACCAAGGTGAACTTCCCTCCCCACCCCCCCCCAAACTTCTCCTATCTAAACTGCAAAGGAATTCTGGCAAATAAACATCTCCCGGCCTGTCCTGCCCTCTCCATTGTGTGGCTTGCCCTTCTGCAGAACTACAAGGGTACGACGGCTGCTCTCCAGAGCTTTTTCCTCCCGCAGTGTCAGCTAACAGGCGCACGTCCAGAGAATTAGAAAAGAGATGGGGAGGCGGCTGCTTTAGCTACAGCCAGAGGATATCACTTAGAAGGCATTTCCTGAGAGCTTGCGAAACACTGACTCTAGGAATCCAGAGGACTCCCTGGAATTTCCCTTTCTAGATATCTCTGTCTGCCTGAGCAGAGTGGCGTCTGCAGGGCCCGGGTAGGAAAGGGAACCAGATGCCCCAGATGTTCCGCCACTCCCGTCCGCCCGAGGTTCTGAGGTGAGACGTCCCGCCCGGAGCTGCCTGCTCATTGTGCCTCGGCCTGGCTTTCAGATCCTTATGTCGGAACCAGGCAAACTCAGCCAGAAAATAAAAGTCTGGCTTCAGGAGTACTGGAACATCACCGACCTCGTGGCCATCTCCGTGTTCATGATCGGGGCCGTCCTCCGCCTGCAGAGGCAGCCGTACATGGGCTACGGCCGCGTCATCTACTGTGTGGACATCATCTTCTGGTACATCCGCGTCCTGGACATCTTCGGCGTCAACAAGTACCTGGGGCCCTACGTGATGATGATCGGAAAGATGGTTCGTACCGACGCCTGTGAGCAGCGCGAGACACCCAGGCAGTGGTTTGGACGTGAGGCTGGGTGTCCTTGCAGTTGGTTTCTTATGGGAGATGTTTTTTGCTGTTAGATATCTAGTTCTCCTACATGTTAGTAACTTAAAATCCAGCCCCAGGTGGTGTGGCTCGGTGGCTGAGCGCCAGCCTGCGACTCAGAGGGTCGCTGCTTGGATTCCCAGTCAGGGCACGTGCCTGGGTGGCAGGCCAGGTCCCCAGTAGGGAGCGCACGAGAGACAACCACACATCGATCTTCCTTTCCCTCTTTCTCCCTCCCTCCCCCTCTCTCAATAAATAAATAATCTTAAAAAAAATAACTGAAAATCCAGTTGACAGACACGAGTCAAGGGCCAGCTGTATGCACGCCCACACACTCCAATGAGCTGACTGATAACCTCCTAGCACGCAGTCAAAGCCGGGGACAAAGGGACCCCAGGGTCATTCTCCGCCTGTATTCCAGACAATCTTCGGCCCCTGAGCCCTGACCTGGAGCAGACACAAGCTGTTTGTGGGATTAGGTCAACCCAAATCCTTGGCAACTGCTCCTCCAGAACAGGCCGTAGAATCTGAAACCGAGACTGACCCAGCAAATTTTCCTTGCATCCCCTGAAACAGCATCAGTGCTAGGACGGGTCCCAGAAGAAAGGAAGTCTCCCACGTTTAGAAGAAATAATTCTTTATATTGCAAGCAGCTCAAAGCAAAAGGATCTATAGTCCCGCTTCTCCAGTCAAGGACCTTCGCCTTCAGGGGTGTTCAAAATTAGAAATTAACACCAGTTCGGTATCCAGTAACCAGCCTCGCTCATTGTAACTACGCCGCACTTGAATAAGGAACAGAATACATACCAGTGTGTATTCTCAATTCATCATCTTGTTACCTACCTCCTCAGATAGCTTTTCCTCCAACTCCTTAGATTCTCGTTCAAATGCACGAATTTTCCCATAAGTCCTTTGTTTCTCACTTACAGTTGAAGTGCCTAGAAGAATATTTGTTTATGGGCAGCAGGAGAAGCAAAAGAGAGATGAAGATAGCGATGTTGTAGAATAAGACATATGCATTGTGGGAAGGAGAAAAATAGCCCGTGGATGGGATGGAGAGAAAGCAAGGGGTCTTTCTTCATCCCAATTAAGCACCGATGAAGCCTTTGGAGAGGGCGATGAATAGCATGGGCCCTGTGAACTTGGCCCGAGAGACACATTTTCTTTCTACTCAGATGATTGACATGCTGTACTTCGTGGTCATAATGCTGGTTGTGCTGATGAGTTTCGGAGTCGCCCGGCAGGCCATTTTGCACCCAGACGAGGAGCCTTCCTGGAAACTGGCCCGAAACATCTTCTACATGCCCTACTGGATGATTTATGGGGAGGTGTTTGCGGACCAGATAGACCGTAAGAATAGACTTCATAGTAAGATTCTCTTCCCTGCTTCCGAGGAAGATGATCAGACCCAGATTAACGGAAGAGTGTGTGTTCGTTTGGGCCCAAAGTATTTTTTGTATTCTGCCGTAGACATCAAATGGTTTTCTGAAGAAGTAAATGCAGATTATGAAAGGTAGATTTTTGAAATGTTGCTCATTCCTTCTGCTCTAAAACTATCGGCTGGAATTCTGAGTCTCTTGGCCCTTTAGCTGGACATGGGGACTGACCTAGCCTATGGCTGTAGTTCCAATCCCAATGTCCTGAAGTGTCATTGGCCTGATCTCTTTCATCCTCAAGAGAGAGCTGGCAGCAGCATTTTGTCAGAATGAGACAGTGAGCCTGACAGGGTGCTGGTGTCGCATGTCACCCTCTTTGTCAAGCCACCATGTTCTTTTGCCACACGGGCATCAACTTCTTCTTTACTGGTGGAGTGCTAGTTTTTAAGTTTTTGGCAGTAACCTGGGTGCTAGCAGAGGAAGTGAGCCATGATGCTTCGGGGATTTCTGGGGGATGCAGATCCCAGCTCCTCCCCAGGTTGAGCTGGTCGCCACAGGGAAGGTGAGCTCACGTGTCCCTGTACGCGGACAGTGACCGAGACTCTTCAGGCCCGCTGTCCTGTCCGCACCAAAACTTTCCCCCGTGTGTTTGCGTTATCATAAAGCATCAGATACAGTAGCAGGTCTGCTGTTTCCAGTGTTCCCCCTCTGGGGAGTACAAGGTCTTTTTAAAAAATTTTATTGCCCTGGCTGGTGTGGCCCAGTGGGTTGAGCGTTGGCCTTCAAACCAAAGGGTCACTGGTTTGATTCCCAGTCAGGGTACATGCCTGGGTTGCAGGCCAGGTCCCCAGTAGGGGGCGCACAAGAGGCAACCACACATTGATGTTTCTCTCCCTCTCTTTCTCCTTTCCTCCCCCTCTGTCTAAAAATAGATAAAATCTTTTAAAATTTTTTTATTGAATTTATTGGGGTAACATTGGTTAATCAAATTATATAGATTTCAGGTGTACCATTGTATCATACATCATCCGTATATTGTATTGTGTGTTCACCACCCCAAGTCAATTCTCCTTTCCTCACCACTGGGGAGAGAAGGTTTTGAACATCGTCCCCTTGTATGAAACGCAAGATTGTCAGTCAGTCTATCTACCCACAGCCAGTGAGCCAGACTGATAAATGGATCACAAAATGCCTCCACCTAGCTTTTATAACCTGGTTCAGGACACATTATTATCACAAGTACCTCAAAGTCAATTATTGGTAAGCAGAACCAATAAATAAATAGATAAATAAATAAATAAATCTAATTTGATCTCAAAGACTTTTAGCTAGCCAAACACAAAATAAAACCTTAAACATAAACGCTAACAGTCCCTGGATCCGGACATAATTCATAACATTTTTATTGGTGTTTTTTACATTCAGTTGGGGAATGAGAGAAGGGAGAAGTAAACTGGAAGTGACGCTATGTTCAGTCACAGGATTCTTGTAGGTTTTGGATTCCTGACCTGAGCGTAACATGCTTATTTTGTATTTATTTGCTCATTTATTTGCGCCCGGGAGGTGTTCGTGTTGGGTCACAGCAGGTGCCTTCCTGGTTAACCTGTCCAGCGAGAGGGTCATCTGCCAGTTGCCTTGTCTGTTTGTCACAGTATTTTTAACTGCTGAGCTTTTGCTGTTGCTTATACACACGGTGAAATAAATATTCGTGAGCTATGTATACATTTTCTAGAATTGATAATGCATACAATGCTAAATAGATCACTGTTTCTAAGTGCAAATCTGTAATCCCCAAGCTTGAAGATTTTGCATGTCTTGTGTTGCTAATCATTTTACTTTCAACTGTGCTCTTATTTTCTTTCCTTCCTTCCTGTCACGACGAAAAAACAAAACCCGCTTCTCAATCGCTATGTAGTCTACGCCATGGAAATTAATCGTAAGTTTATGCAGAAGTGATGACTGCATGTGAATGAAATGAAACGTGTGTATGAATTAGGATCTTCCTTAGCTGATTCCTGATAATCTTACCCTGGGTGCAAATACTTCTTTGGTTTTTTTCATGTGAATACTTATTTATTTAAAAAAATTTAAGGTGAATTAGCTTAATTTATTCTTATTTTTTACAAGATTTTATTTATTGCCCTGGCTGGTGTGGCTCAGTGGACTGAGCACTGGCCTGTGAACCAAAGAGTCACAGGTTCAGTTCCCAGTCAGGGCACATGTCTAGGTTGCAGGCCAGGTCCCCAGTAGGGGGCGCATGAGAGGCAACTGATAGATGTCTCTCTCGTGCATCTTTAAGATTTTATTTATTTATTTTCAGAAAGTGGGGGAAGAAAGGGGAAAGAGAGGGAGAGAAACATCGATGGGAGAGACAAACATCAGTTGGCTGCCTCTCCCACACCCCCAACCAGGGACCAGACCACGACCCAGAAATGTGCCCTGACTGGGAATCAAACCCACACCTTTTCAGCCACAGGCTCATGTTCAATCCACTGAGCCACTGCAGCCAGGGCTCATTTTAATATTTTTTAAAACTGCAAATATGTAAGAAGTGCATAAGTAAGTAAGTAAATTGATGGAGATCGCTTCCCTCATCACTGCTGGCATCTTCCTGTTTTTTTTCCCCAGGAGATAAGGTCCCGTTTGATCACAGTGGTATTTCACATGAGAGAGAAAAGGTTATTTTTCAAACATGGCACCAGAACAGTCGCCTGAGGGATGTGGGGGTAGAGGGAGCCTTACCTGTGACCCTAGAACAAAATTATTTCCCAAGTTAATCAGGAGTGAAACCAAGAAGACAACATAAGCTGATGTTAAATAATGAGAAAACACAATACCTTTCTCATGGGTAATAGTAAAGAAGAAAACCACAGAGATAGATTTAGCTGCTTACAAATGAACAACTTCTCTATGTGAGAAACACAGTCAAGAAATGGGAAAATGTTTATAAACACAGCAAGTTAGGAAGTAAGTTCAGAAAGGAGTTTCTTATCTTCTTTGTATGAATTAGTAGTTTGCACAGAAGAAAAATCATAGCAGAAGAGAAATAGGTCATCTAATAGCCTATGGAAAAAGAACGTATGTTATTCCTTTCATTCCATGGGAAAGCAAGCACAGAAAGACAAACTTTTTTTGCAGCTCCCTGTGGGGATAACCAGTATGACGAGGAAGGCAAGCGGCTCCCTCCCTGCATCCCGGGCGCCTGGCTGACCCCGGCCATTATGGCGTGCTACCTGCTGGTGGCCAACATCCTGCTGGTGAACCTGCTCATCGCGGTCTTCAAGTACGTGTCATGGCCGACAGCCATGCACTTGTTATCGATTACTTTAGAGAGCCTTGGTTTCAGCAGAACTCTCCCAGGCCTGCATGCATTCACACAGAATGTCACCAGGGCTTGGAAAAGGGTCGAATTTCTGCAGTGTGTTTTTGTTCCACCTTACTCAGTCTTAATGCATTGATAAATCAAGAGTTGATTTGAAATGTACTGAAATTTCTTTTTTAAATTTTTTAACTTTTTTGCTTATTTTTAAAATTTTTTTTATTTTCTTGATTGTGCCATTACAGTTGTTCTATTTTCCCCCTTCATTCCCCTCCACCCTGCATCCCCCGCCCCCACCATTCCCCCCTTTAGTTTATGACCATGTGCCTCAAGTTCTTTAGATTCTATATTTCCCATACTATTCTTGCCCCCCATCTATTTTCTACCTACCGTCTATGCTACTTATTTTCTGTACCTCCTCTCCCTTCTCCTCCTCCCACTCCCCTGTCGCTAACCCTCCATGAGATCTTCATTTATATGTTTCCGCTTCTGAAAAAATATGGAACGCTTCATGAATTTGCATGTCATCCTTGCGCAGGGGCCATGCTAATCTTCTCTGTATCGTTCCAATTTTAGTATATGTGCTGCCGAAGCGAGCACTGAAATGCACTGAAATTTCATCTCAGTTAGTATTGGAACGCTTGAGGAGATATTTCAATCTCAAGAAAATAGTTTCTTAGATGAAAGTCCCCTGAGGTAGAGGAGATTTGATTCAGTTGTACCTTTCCTTCATTATCAGAGGCACAGAAAACAAGGTTAACTTCATAAGCCATGACAATTGATGTAACATTACATTCCTTTATCATTGATAGAATAGTAAATAAAATGATCTAGAAAAAAAGATGGCTTGAATCGAAAGTCAAGTTTCTTATAGAACTTGACCATTTTGGCATGATGTACTGAGTATGTGATCATGCTTAATAAATGTTGAAAAAGACTATTGTAGCTTCTTTTTTTAACTTTAAATTTATTTATTTTTTATTGATTATGCCATTACAGTTGTTCTATTCCCCCCCTTCATTCCCCTCCACCCTACCTCCCCATCCCCATTACCCCCCCTTTAGTTTATGACCATGTGTCTCAAGTTCTTTAGATTCTATATTTCCCATACTATTCTTGCCCCCCATCTATTTTCTATCTACTGTCTATGCTACTTATTTTCTGTACCTTCTCCCCCCTTCTCCTCCTCCCACTCCCCTGTTGCTAACCCTCCTTGAGATCTTCATTTCTATGTTTCCACTCCTGATCTAGCTGTCCTTTTAGTTTGCTTTTGTTTTAGGTGTGGTTGTTAATAACTATGAATTTGCTGTCCTTTCACTGTTCATATTCTACTGTAGCTTCTAAGATGAAAAATATGGGGGGAAAATCCATGGCAGAAATATAGAATCTTAGCGCTGACCAGGACATTGAAGAGAATGCGAATGCACCAGGTTTGAGTAGCGAGAAAGTACAGGTCACGAGAGATTAACTGGCTTCTCTGAGGTCCCTATGTTGGTAGAAAACGCGCTAGATCGTGATTCCAACTTTCTAGCAACTGCGCCCTTACTTCCTCCCACTGGAAATGAAAGGACAAAGATGGTATCTACCCAACATCCAAAATAGTGCATCTTTGATCAAATAAGTTCAGTAAGTAACCCATTCAGTTACCGAAAAGAAAGTAGTCTGAGATGAAAGTTTAATTACTTCCAAGTGCTGAGTTGAATGGCTCATGCCTTTAAATATATGGAATAAAATTTCTTGAGCATGTGAGTTTGTAGATGGCAGTGTGATTTTTCAAGAGAGCAGTAGGTAGTGATCCAATATCCTTTTTTGGTTGTTTTCTTTTTTAAATATTTTATTTATTTATTTTTAGAGAGAGGAGAAGAAACATCAGTGTGTTTCTCCCATGAAGGGAGAAAGGGAGGGAAACATCAGTGTGTGGTTGCCTCTCACACACCTGGCCTACAACCCAGGCATGTGCCCCGACTGGGAGTTGAACTGGTGACCTTTGGTTTGCAGGCCAGCATTCAGTCCACTGAGCCACACCAGCCAGGGCTTCAATATTCTCATTTAGTATTTATATGAATAAAATGCCTTTGAATGTAGATGATCTTCACAGTGATCAATAGACTGGAAGACAGTTATCTAGGAATTAGAACAAGGGGCTTGCACTACAAGGCCATTTCACTGTGTCTTGTCATTTCAATGTGACTCCGATTGCTGTGGAAAATCACGTAAACAGTAATGTAACTAACTAAAAATGTGTTCTTTTTAAAGCAACACCTTCTTTGAAGTGAAGTCCATATCCAATCAAGTGTGGAAATTCCAGCGGTATCAGCTGATTATGACGTTTCATGACCGGCCAGTCCTACCTCCACCAATGATCATTTTAAGTCACATCTACATAATCGCCATGCGTCTGAGTGGTCGCTGTAGGAAGAAAAGAGAAGGGGACCAAGATGAGCAGGACCGCGGACTGAGTACGCGCACCACTTTCGTTTCTTTCCGGGGCTAATTTCACAAGGGCTTTCCGATGGGACACCCTCACAGAAAACTTATTAAACCCCTTAAATGTGTGAGAATGCAACACTCTCACCTAACCGCTGTTCTTCGGACAACGCTTGTTATTTTGTGATGATTTTTATTCTAGTTTCATGGATTTATCAATTAATTACTGAAAGCCCGCTCAGAACGAGGTGAGAAATTGAGTTCTTGAAAGTAAACTCCTCTGTTGTTGAATCAGGGTTCCTTTCAAAGTGTTTCAATGTACTTCTCTTAAAGATCATGGGGAAAATATGCAGCACCCTCGACTCTATCCTCGTGCAAAAGGTTTCCCAGAAAATTATGTTTGGCTTCACTTTCTGAATAAGCTGCAGAGAGAGAGAGAGAGAGAGAGAGAGAGAGAGAGAGTGTGTGTGTGTGTGTGTGTGTGTGTGTGTGTGTGTTGAGCCATTTTGCTCCGTCGGGAAGATCGTTGCTGATTGCCAGCTCTTCTTGCATAACGGGCAATCGGGAGAGTTGAGTAAACTAGGCGCAGTGAGGCTGGGCTGTGAAATTCACAAAGACTCCTAGAGCTTGAGTCTTCGCAGCTATCGCGAGATCTCACTCGGCAAACCCTGTCCTTGCAGAGCTGTTTCTCAGCGAGGAGGAGCTGAAGAGGTTGCACGAGTTTGAGGAGCAGTGCGTGCAGGAGCACTTCCAGGAGAAGGAGGACGAGCAGCAGTCGTCCAGCGACGAGCGCATCCGTGTCACCTGCGAGAGGTGTGCCCTGCGCATCGCCCACTCGGGGCCTCGGGTTGGCGGGCTCCTCCGCCCCAGTCTGGGAGGGGTGGGGTGCCAAAGTCCATTTAAACATGCATTCCCAGTTGTCTGGTTTATTCAGACTTTCTCGTTTTTACGTGTTTTCTAGGGGATAGTTGTGTGCCGTATATAGAAGTGAAGGATGAATTTATGACCAATAGTCCAGGCCCACACCAAACTAAAAGCCCTACTTTCTTGGCCACCCCTGCACGAGGGCCATTTGCTATAAGACCCAGGATCTACGGCCAGAACAGTCAGCCCCAGGGCTGGGTGGCTTGTCTGGAAGCCACCTTTCTTCTCGCTCCAGCCATTTGGTTTTCTTGACCAACGGTAGTCTCCCCTTAGGAGTCGACCTCCCTTGACCAGGAACTGTAAGGGCGGCACAGGTGTCTGTGCCCCAAAGAGGCTGGAAACCTCTAAACAAGGCTCGAGTCTGTGTTTCAGACCCTTTTACATCCGGGATCCCAAGAGAATCACCATCATCCGGATCAGGGAGCTTAATAAATGCAGAATGAATGAATGAATGAATGAGTGCATGAATGAATGAATGGGTACGTGAATCAATGAATGAGCGAATAAAGGCAGGTCAGGAGGGACAGGAGGCGGGGCCTTTCCCCCAACTTTACTGTGTCGCTCTTGTGGCAACTGGCAAAGGGCAACCAGCAAAGAGTAGACAGGAACAAGAAACCTGCATGACATACATTTTTTTTAATCACCTAATTCTTGAGACCCTTTATCATTTCAAGCAATTGAAGTTTGGTGAAGATCATGATAATTGATTAAAAAATAAATTGTTCCTGAGAGTTTAACCAACAATGTGCGTAGAAGGAGCATAGAGGAGATATGCCTAAGGAAACTCTCTAGTCATCTTTATGTCCTTGGGCACTCAGAGTTCACGTTTCCCTTATAGATACACATGTTTACTGGTAAGCAGGAAAACCTGGTAGGACTTCCAAAAGGATATTTCAGCACACTTCCCAGTCAAGGGCTGCCAAGTGACAACAGAGTTCGTGACACACCTTGAAGTCTCCCTGGTGTGTGTTCAGGACAGTGACTCTTCCTCAGCCCTGGCAGCTGCAGGTCTCTGGCCTCTCTCACCTCCTAGAACTAGTCACCTTGTAATACAACCCACCAAACTCCAGAGTTACCCGCCCCCACTTTTGGCCTTAATAAGATATATGTTCCGTAAAACTTTAAAACATGTCCTTGCTATGTTCACAGTGATGTCTGAGCTTTCAGAATGTACCCGCTATGCCTGGGCTGGTGTGGCTCAGTGGATTAAGCACCAGCCTGTGAACCAAAGGGTTGCTGGTTCAGTTCCCAGTCAGGGCACATGCCTGGGTTGCAGGGTGGGTCCCCAGTAGGGGGCGCTCAAGAAGCAACAGCACATTGATGCTTCTCTCCCATACTTTCTCCTTCCCTCCCCCTCTCTCTAAACATAAATAAATAAAATCTTTAAATCATATATACCAACTGTTCCTCCATAGGAAGATGACATATGCCCATCTTGATGATCAGAAATTTCCAGTTTGCAATTAAACATTAACTTGGGCTTAATCACAGCCAGTCGTTTACCATGGAAATTGTGTTTTGTTTCACTCTGCCTCTTCCCCTTCCCCCTCCCCCAAGCGTTGTTTGAATTCCTGCCATTCTTGGACCGGGGCTCCAGGAATGTGGTTATCAGGCCCGCTACCACATTGCATTTCCCTCCAGGGGCTCTGTGCACTCGTCATCGGAATGAATGTGCCCGGCAGTAAAAACAGGCTCCTTCCCGCTTCCCTTGGCCGCCGCTGCCACCAGGGATGGGAACGCCTTCCTGCCAGTCCTGTTCCCTTTCTCGGCTGAGTCACAGGTGACTACCAGTGGCCAAAGCAGGTGGGGCCTGGGAAAAGCTAAACGGGCTGAGGAGCCAAGGAAACAAAATTAACGACTTTTCCCCAAGTTTTGGCACCAGGGATGACTTTTAAAATCAAACTTTTTTGAGTACTCAGAGGTTTCTGCCCTTTCTCTCACTCTGTATATTTGACAGTTTTCTCTTCTGAGTCACCATTTGCTGATCTTCCTGTTCTTAGCTGTGTCATGTCCAGTACCACGGGGACCACAGGGTCTCGTTAGGGGTGAGCCTCTGTGAGAGGCGCTGCTGGCGTCAGGCCCGTCCTGGCCTCCCTGTTGTCTGGGAACCTTTCCAAAGCAGGGCCAGCGATTTGCATGATTCCGTCTTGCAAATGTGTTCCTATAAGAAATGACACACTTGTTAGTACTCCTCCGTGCAGGCTGCTCCTCTGTGCAAGATGCTCCTCAGGGCAGGCTGCTCCTCATTGCATGGTGGTCTCCATGTAGCTGCTCCATGACTGCAGGAACCAAATTCAACGCTTTCCCCTAATGCTTGCAAAGCCACATATAAAATTCTAACCATTAACCATTTCTTTTCATCATATGATGTCAGCACTTTGTCAGATCCAACAGGTAGCCCTTCAGCAGGAAATTTCCACCGTGGCTCAGGTTTTCGTTGACCCCATGCTGGGTTGCAGCCGTAAGCTCAACCCAAAGCCCCACCCAGCGTGCCACTTAGTGCCCTTGGGCACTGCACTTGTCCCTCCCTGCTGGACTTGGACTTGCTCTGTGCTCTCAGCTCTGCCAGCCATCGCGGTCAGCAGATCATTGTGACACCTTCCTCTTCTTCACTGACAGTCAAGGTCTGGATTTACTTCCCCACCCGCCATGATGGTACAAGCTACCACTCAGCAGACTCTGCTTAGAACTCCAGTCTTGCTGGCATGCCTTCATTGCCTCAAAGGCACGGCTCCCTCCCTGCCACAGGGACTTTGCACATGCTGCTCCCTCTGCCTCCTCATCCTTCGGATCTCTATTCAAATGCCAATTCCTTCTGGAAGGCTTCCCTGACCACCTCACCGCCTGAGACCAGGCCAGGGAGCCTCGCATACCTCCACATGGCAGGAGGCTGTTTTTTTTTCAACAACTGATGGCTCAAAAGTTTGTCCGCTGATTTGAATGCGAAAATCTAATTGGTTCCCTCCTGGAGTACCAAACAGGGTATCCCTCTGGGTTCAAAGCTTTGGTTTTGCTCTTAGGGACTAGGAGCAGTTTCAATATGCAAATAAGTCTGCTACCCATAATTGTTGGAAAGAACCCTTACTATCAGCAACACCAAAACGAACGTTCTTGTTGTCAGGTGTTGTTTGTTTGGAAGAGATAACATCAGATAACCAAGAGGGCTGGTCAGAGAACATTTTATAAATTCCTTCTGCCGTACAATCGAGGTCACATCCTGGCCTCATCGGACTGGCTAATAATCAGGAATGTGGATCCTTATCAATTAGCGCTTGAAGGCTATTTCTGTGACTCTTTCAAATCCACTGTTAAGTACACCATGGTGTCTTCGCTTTGTTTTGTGAGGTCGGACACCCCCTGGGAGGGGTTCCCAGGTTCAAGAGCAGTGGAGTTGGAAAGAATCTTTTCCGACATAACTTTGTCAGCGATTCAACTTCCTTTTCTCAGACAATGAAATCCATGGAGTTTTCCTTTTTTTCTTGCCTTGAAAGAAGCTTAGCAGCAAGCTCAAAATTTAATGATAACCGGTTTATTGTTGTAGGTCTGGGGAGTATGTGGAGTGCAGTGCCTCCTTATCCCCTCCTCCTTTTACTCTTTCATGTCTTCTCTTCCACTGACAAAAACGTCGCTTTGTGTGTGTGATATTTCAAAGTATGCAGGCTACACTTGAAATACGGGTGGTCCTGACTCAAGGCGAGACCATTGGATCTTAGAGGAGCCAGCCTTCTACTGGTGGGTTCTGATTCCCCCCAAGCCTTTTGGGTTCAGTGGTTTCTTGTCAGATTTGTGGTTCCGGGTTAAGGTCTTGGGAAGTCTGCTCTCAGCTCGATAGGTAATCAGCCCCCTGTGGCCTTGAGACCTTGTTTGACAGTCTCTTCCCAAGTGACCAGGAAGAGAAGATGCTGGTAATAGAGACTTTTACGAGAAAGATGACAAGGAAAGAAGTTGAGGTCGTAACCAGGAGAGGAGCCTGAAAGAGTGATCAGTCTCAGAAAGGAGGGTGGGTGATTTCTTGGACACAGAAAAGGTGGTAGAAAGGCAAACGTGCAGGGATGGGAGAGAAATTTGGGAAGATCCCATCTGAACGTCTTGATTGGATTTTATTTTTTAGAGAGGGGGGGAAAGGAGCGGAAAAAAGAGGGAAAGAAACATCGATGTGTGAGAGAAACATCGATCAGCTGCTTCTTGCCAGCCCTTAACTGGGGACCTGGCCCGAAACCCAGGCATGTGCCCGGATTGAGAATCAAACTGGTGACCTTTCAGTTCATAGGCTGGTGCTCAACTCACTGAGCCCCACCAGCAAGGGCAGAATGTTTTAATCCTGTAAATTAATAGGGGTCACAGTTGTCTGGATAATGGAGGGTGGGTGGGGTTAAATGTGGAACTTTTCATATGCTCCGTAAATGACACTCTTGTTCCTTACCTACTTGGAGAGGCAATTTAGGGATACATAAAGATATCAGACACACATTTTTTAAGAGTTTTTTAAAAATTAATTTTATTCATTGATCTTCAGAGGGGAAGGGAAAGAGAGAGGGAGAGAAATATCAATGTATGGTTGCCTCTCATGTGTCCCCCGCTGGGAACTGGCTGCAACCCAGGCCTGTGCCCTGACTGGGAATCAAACCATGATCCTTTGGTTAGCAGGCCCGCGCTCAAACCACTGAGCTACACCACCCAGGGCCAGACACAGATTTTTAAAAAATATACCAGCTTTATTAGTAGTAAATATTGTGCCAGAGGAAGTGGTGCCATTCTTGCAAATACACAGCCTAGAATTAGACGTACCCACTCAGTGACCAGTAGTGGGGACTGCCGCAGACTTCCCTTCTCCTGGCAGGATCAGCTTCCCCCACTGAGCTTGTCACGTGAACAGGACAGAGTGAGAG